CTTTCATTGTTGAGACAAAATACCTGATGCCCAGTTAGGGAAAGAAAGGTTTCTTTCTTACAGATTGGAGGTTTGAGTTCAAACACAGCTGCCTCCAAACCTCAGCGTGGCATGATAGGCCACAGCAAACATCGAACATCCAAAAGAGAGTGACATGCCTTCTTCCCGCCATTACACTGTATGGGTGGCTCTGCTCCTGGGTGGGCATAGCACTAGTACCACCAATCCAAGCACTAGACAGTGAACCATTCACAACACTAGATTTGGCCGCATCCATGATTGCATGAGGCTTGAGGGGGCCACTGACATATAAACCATGAAGGGGATCTCAGAACCAAACTGGTCACCAATTAACAACACAAGTCACACAAGTACATACCACTGAGGAAGCAATCCATAAATCTCTAAACTACCTGGGCCTGGTGACACACGTCTGTAGTCCCAGCAGCAGGGTGGCTCTAGGGGAGGATCACTTGAGTCTAGGAGTCAGAGACCACACTGGACAACACAGCAAGACATCATCTTAAAAACAAAACCTAAAAATCATGAAATAAAACATACTATCATCCTAAAACCAAATAACAGATTGCTTAGACATACATATGTGGTAAAAGTATTTTTAAAAAATTAACAATATTCAAGATAGAGTTGTATGAGGTGGTACACACCTATAATTGTAGCACTCTGAAGGCTGAGGCAGGAGGATGACAAATTCAAGCCCAGTCTGGCCAATTTAGTGACTTAGGGAGACCCCATCTCAAAATATAAAAGGGGCAAAGATGCAGTGCAATGCAGAGACCCTGGGTTCAATCCCTAACACCAAATAAATGAATAAACAAACAGAAAGAGCAAAGTCTGAAATCAAGATGTGCAATAGTTTTACAGTCATTGGTGAGTACCACACTACAGCTTGTAGCACTCACTGGCTTTCACGTCAGGGACCTTGGGCCTCTGAAACTGTCCTGCCGTGGTAAAGAATTCTCCTAAGGTCCTAGATCTTTACACCTTTATTCCTAAATCCAAATCTAGCACAAATTAACCTAACCAATAGGATTTTGTGCACAATTTAGCGCTGAGTGAAGCTGAAAGTATCTGACATTCAGGTTTATACTGGGAGCCTCCTATGAATTAACAACCAGTTCTACACACTGGGGATACAGAAGGGAACAAACTGTCTTCGTAGAACTACATTTGGTGGGGGTAAGAGGTAGTGAGACAATAAAAATAAACACATCAACAGCGGTCACTCAATGGGGGAATACCAAAAGCAGAAAAAGGAGGTTCAGACTCTGGAACGTAAAAAGAATAACATCTTCCACACGTCATAGATGATCCCAGTGATCACTCAGGAATATGTAAAGCAGAACTGTTAGGTTAAGGAGAGCATAAGGCTTTTGATACACATTGTTATACTTCTTAACAAGGTTATATATGGGTGTACCCCATTAAAGTGTATAAGTAGTTCATTTCTCTATGCTTTTCCCTAAAACTCTTTCTAATCTTTGCAAACTGGAGAAGAAAAATCTTATTGTTGTCTCTAGCTGAGTTTCTTTGGTTCTCACTATTTCTAGTTCTTTTACAAATTATGCTTATTTCTTGCTCATTTTCAATGGGGATACTGTTTTATATTTCTATAAGATCTTTGTCTATTATATATGTTACAAGTATTTTCCCATTTATCATTTGCCCTCTCAGATTGTGCTGCTTAAAAATAAACTAATTTTTTAAAAAGTTTGAAAAAGTCTTTAGTTTTCACCCCAATTCAGATTTTCTTTCCTCAGCTCAGGATCTTACAAGAATAATATAATCCTTTCCCATACAGTAGTTTAATTTTTCTATATCTACCTTGTCAATACTAAGGCTACAATAACATTTTTCTCCAATGATCCTAGGGCTACTTACTGCACTGTGATTGCTTTTCAGATTTGAAATGCTACTTTTAAAATATAAAGTAGCAAGCACTACATCATGAGTTCAATCCCAGGTACCAAAACAAAAATAAAAACAAGAGAAACAAATCAATAAAATGTAAAGTAGTCTTCTATGCTCAGCTGTTTATGCAATTTCCTTCCTGCTCTACAGTGCTGTCTACACTGTATTGGAATCTCTGACTTACTATAGTGTTGTGATACATGTTAATAACTGGCACTATCAGCCTCCTACCTTCATTCTTTTAAAACATTTTCTAAATTGATCCTCTTCCTAAGAAATATCAAATCATATTTATACAGTTATTTTCTAAGAGGAAAACGTATTAATATCAATTGTGTTAGGGAAACACATTTTTAAAAAAATGTTTGAGGCCACATACTTTCAACAACAAATGTAGATACTCAGCTTTACCTCCCAAATTAGGAAAAACTGCTTATGACTTTTAATGTCCCTAGAGGTAGCACCAACGTTTTATGAGTCCCAGTAAAGGAGAAGATGTAGAACTAAATAAAAGGATTTTCTGGCACAAACTAGAAATTAATATCCCCCCCCCAACATCACTTCTCTTACCACTAGTAGTGTTTTCAGACCCTTTGTTTTCTGAGATCTTTTCAATAATGAGATAATCACTTATCTCTAAAATAGAGATCTGTGAATTTTAGAATGCATGTTTGCCAATTTTACCACACATGGTTTGTGTTAATGAGGAAAAAATGTGATTGGAATATATAATGTGGAATCATGGAGTCAATGTTCTTTGCTATTGATTACGGGAATATTTCCAGACTACGCAATGCTTAGGTAGCTCCTCAGGAGGCTCTACTAAAACAACTGTTGGGGAGAGTCTACTTTTTCTCATGATACACCATGTCTTCTTTTGTTTCCTAATTTGCTTTTCCTCCTATTTATGTTTTAGACATAGTTCAGCTCCTGATGATCCCCAGAATTCAAAAAGGAATAGATTTAAACCTGTGTTGTATTTTCCAGCACGGTTCTTACAGCCTTTCTGCTGACTAGATGAATAAGAAGTGGGAAAAGAAATATTTCAATTCAGTAACTGCCACTTGAAGAACTGGAATTTTTTTTTTTTTTTTTTTAACTAGGAATCAAATTCAGGACCTCATGCTTGCCAGGCACTGTCCTGCCGAGTTATATCCTCCGCCCAGAACTGAAATCTTACCAATTACACAGGTTTCAAAATTAAAGTAAGATGTAAAAAAACCTCAATACATTTTATTAATGGACCCAAAAGAATTCTACATTGATGAGACATTTCATCAATAAATCTAAAATATACCTATATAGATACATTACAAGATTATTTAGCAGTACTGAAAATTAAGCCTAAGACCACCTGCACTTTAGATAAGAACTTTACCAATTAGCTACATCCCAGGGATGCCTTTGAAATTTTGAGTCAGGGTCTCACTACATTGTTGGACTGGGTTGGAACTTTAAACTTTCCTGCCTCAGCCTCCCCAGTAGTTGGGATTACTAGCATGTGCTACCCACAGATCATTATTTGAAGTTTTTTCACTTAACCTCTACAACAATGAAGAATCAATACAGCAGATAAAAATTGACACCTTACATCTTCAAGTGGCAGAATCAGAAAACTGAAAGGGTTTTGGCCCAGACAGGACTCTGTAGCCAGAAAAGCCTCAACCAGAACCAGGGAGCTCCTATCTCCCCCGCCCCTAGGGATTTACCTGTGACTATATCTCCCCCCACCCTTAGGAATCTGCCCCTGGCGCCAAACGTGTGCCAATGAGATACCTGTGCATCTCTAATGGCCTTAGGGCACTATGGTAAGCTTAGGCTACTTATATACACCCCCAGCCACGTGTCCAACAGAGAGAAAGCCGGACTCGAGCGGTCCGGGGGTGTCGGTTCTCTCTCTCTCCCTGTTCTCAGAATAAAGGCCTCTTTTGTTTTATGCTTCTCATCTTCTGGATATAATCCTATCAAAAACAATCCAAAAAAAAAAAAAAAGGTGCACAAAACCATCATATCCAGCCTATTTTTATAAAAAAAAAACCTGGAAATATTAGCAATCATTTAATTTTGTATTAGTTTATCATTAAAAAGCAGTTTTGGGATATTTCAAATATTTAGGTTGCAATCTGCTGCCAAATCATCTTTATTCTCATTGGCTGTCTTTACAAAATGAAGACACTGGCTACTTTACAGGATGATAACAAGGATTATACAAGATTAGGGTCAGGAGAGTTCAGAGCACATGCCAGATATAGTAAACGCTCAAAAATGAGTTCTAATTTTTCTGCAACTCTATTAAGAATAAACACAAAACCAACTTGCATCTGAGACTTATTGCCACACATAATATATACTTTATTTGTATGATTTCATCACGTTAGAGGTCTGTCATATTATTGTATGCATTCAGAAGATGTAGGTTCTATTTTCAGTAGAGCTTCCAGATGGCTTTAAAAAAAAAAATCTGCCACGTTGGCACACATCCCTCAATTGTTTTCCTGATTATAATTCTTGCTAAAATCCTATGATTCTAGAACAAAACACACACATTTCTAGCTCCACTGTACTCAAAATTTTAAACCACAATATTCTTTGGTTAACTGCGGCTACTATGAGTCTACTTTAAAATTCGAGGGAGGAAAAATCCTTAATCACCCATTGGTAAACGTCACTAAAAATAGCTTAGAAACTTTTAACTGCTTCAGTGATTGCCAAATTTCATTTAACGTCGCGCCGTGAGGAAAAGGGAAAAAATACACAACAATACATCACGGCGTCCTCGGCTCCTTTCAAGTCCGCGCCAGGATTTAAGGTGCTAATTAGCCCCACGGAACTGTCTGGGAGAACCCCGGTGTTAAGGTCGGTGGGCGGTGGGAAGCGCCCGGAACCCGGGTGCCGAGGTTTCAGCAGAGGAAGTAAAGGCCGGAAGGTTGAGCACCGGGACACCGCACTCGGGGCGCCCGGACGCGCCCACCGCGGGCTCTGTGTAGGCGGCGCTCGACGTCCCCTCGGACAAAGCTGTCAGACAGGCTCCCGGCGCGAGTCCGTCCCGCCCCGCCTCTTCCCCTTACCACGTAGCCCCCCCACACGTAGAGGAAGTTTCCGTCCACCACGGCGCAGTGACCGCTGCGCTCCTCCGCCACGCAGAACAGCTGCGAATCCGCCATCCGTGCCGTCGCCGGGCTCTCCGAAGCCCCTTTCAGCCGAGCGGCCTCGCGTAGACTCGACTCCGGTCCGCACGCGCCGACGGAACGCGTCGAGGGTCGAGATTGGTGGGAAGGCGGGACCAGTGCGTCTGCGCTGCGGCGCGCCCGCTTGGGAAGCCGAGCCAAGCACGCGTGGCCTGCGAGGATTCTTTGGTTCTTAGCAATAAGGAAGGGGAGTCGGCTTCCTAGGAGGCGAGCTACGTACTGATTTATTCTCACTTAAGATTGTGTTTTGCAAGAACAGCCTGACTCAGGAGTCAATCCAGAGTCAAATTCCTTGCTTCTCTTAAAATGTCTTTTACAGTTGGTTTATAGTAGCATTATATTTGATCACTATGCCTCTTTAAAGGGCAGTCTCTCTCTCGGTCTCTGCCCCCCCCCCATTTGTGAAATGGATTAGTTTTTCTGTTTTTCCATAATCTGCTTCTGTGGTTGCTTTCTTAACAATTTTTGTAGCCATACTGCCTATTTCTTCAGACCGGAAGCTGAAGCCAAAGGCTTCATTAGAGTCTGGGTCGGTTGGTTTTCCAGGAATTCTTCATTCTGCATCACAGATGACATTTGGGTTTGGTGCACTTTGGCAATATTTTCTGTCGTTTCTTTGAGACAATATAAATAAACACAGACACAGTATCCCCCCCCCCTCCTTTTTTTGTCTTTTTCTTTTTTATCGGTACCAGGGATCGAACTCAAGACTGCCTGCTTGCAAGGCAGACACTTATGCCGCTGAGCTAAATCCCTAGCCCCAAGTATTTCCCCCTTTTTGAACACAAAAGGAAACATTTATACGCAATTTAATATTTATACGCAATTCTGTAACCTTCCATTTAGCAGTGTACTGGGCCGTATTCCCGTGTAGCATTCTTCCTCGGGCCTTTTGACAGTTTCACAGTATAGCATTCCATTGAGTGAATGTCATCATCTATTCTCTCAAGACTTTATTGATGGAAATATGGGTTGAGGGTATTTGTTATCCAATCCTGTGATGAATAACTATATGCAAATATGACTGTAGTTTTACAAATTTGTCTGAAGCAGGGTTCAGGAAGTGGGGACTGCAGAGTTAGAGGATAAATGTATATGCAATTTTGACAGATGTTGCTGAATTTCCCTCTGTAGGAATTGTATCATCACCAAGAACATATAACAATGACAGTTTCTCATAGTCTTAACAAACTATGTTGTTAAGTTTGTAGGGCTTTCATTTCCCATTTCCGTGTAGCCTTTTGGACTCAGTTTTATGCAAGGGGTTTTCTATATATATATATATATATATATATATATATAGAGAGAGAGAGAGAGAGAGAGAGAGAGAGGTTGGCTTTGGACCCACTGTGTAGCTGGGGCTGGCCTCAAGCTCATGGCAGTCCACCTACCTCAGCCTCAAGAGTGCTGGGATTACAGGCTTGTGCCACCACATCTGACTTTTTTTTTTTTTTTTTTTTTTTTGTCTTTTTCCTTTTAACCGGTACCGGGGATCATACCGGGGATCAAACTCACAACTGCCTGCTTGCAAGGCAGGCGCTTATGCCGCTGAGCTAAATCCCCAGCCCCCTACCACATCCGATTTCTAACATTAAGCAACTTTTATACTTTGTCTCTTGTTGCGTGTACTAAAGGTGATATAAAGGCATGAGGATCGCTGTGAGTTTAAGGGCAGCGTGGGCCATACAGTAAGTTAAAGGCCTATACATCTACATATTATAAGGTAAGAATATACATAAACATGTGAGGCTGGGGATTTAGTTCAGTGGCATAAGCGCCTGCCTGGCAAGTTGTGAGGTAATGAGTTCGATCCCTAGCACCAAATAAAATAAAATCGTATATGATATTGCTGTAGAAAAAGCAGTATCAAACCAAATGGAGGACTGCCCTGAAGAATCTAGAAGGTAACACAGTCCAAATCATCTATCATGAGTCAGCTTTGAGTTAAGTTTAAATACAGTTTGCAAGCAGGAAGGAAAGGCAGATGGCAGGTTATTACATGATTGGTTACATGAATTGCATTAAGTCATATATTGTCAGGCAAGCTAATTTTAAACAGATTTACTTAGAAGGAATTGTTTACATAATTTAGGAACGTCCTGGGTTTGAGCAGAGCAAGCAAAGTTAAAGATGGCCTTGACTGTGCCACATTGTCCTAAACAGAGTCCTTGAAGCCAGCTGGAAAAAATGTAAATTATTTTAATTAAGGAAAACAAGCTGGACAAACAAATTGACCCAGCATGTTAGCAGAAGAAAAGCAGCTGGACTGGATCAAGACTGAATTTAGCAGGGTGCTTCTGTGACAAGCAGCAGGAGGATAGGCAGAGGCCACTGTTTGATTTTTTCCCTTGCTATGTCTATAAGTTTGCTATTCTATAACTGTGCCCTTACAACATGACCTACATATTTTGCCTCTAAGAATTTACACCAGAAAATTAAAATATATACACATACAGAAAATGACATGCAACTGAGCATATAAGGACCCAAACCTTTGTTACTAGGTGAGTGAATTACCAGTGTTTACACTCATACATAATACGCTTCTCAGAAATAAAAAAGTGATGGAATTGCTGATAAATGTGTGTGACAACATGGGTGACCCTAGTCCACATTGTTAGTGAAACGATACAAGAAAAGTATATGCTGTGTGATTGCATTTATATGCAATCCAAAAGGAACACAACTAGATAGAGGCTGGGGGTATAGCTCAGTGGCACAGTACCTGCCTGGCAACCACAAAGTCCTAAGTTTGACTCCCAGGACCCCACACCCCTGCCAAAAAAAAAGGTAGAAAGCAGAAATGTGGTCATCTGGGAATAAGCAGTGGGAACTGATGGAAAAAGTATGAGATGTTCCAGAGTGGTGGATGAGATGTATATTTTCATATTGTTACATGAGTGCACACATTGTACCAAAATACACTGACCTACATTCTCCTGAACTTTGGATCTGTGTATTTTACTTATATTTCAATCACACCTATTTGAATTCTCACTTGATTTCTTTATAGTTAAAAGTAACACTGCTTCTGTGTTTTTACTCAAGAAGCGGGGTCCCATGTTGCGCAGGATGGCCCCAAAATGCTGGGCTTAAGTAGTCCTCCTTCCTCAACTTCTTGAAGAGCCGGAACTACTGTAGTGCATTACTCTACACCCAGCAAAGTACTGTATTTTTATGGAACACTGGTCCTACCGGACCTGAAAGTCTAGTGGAGTCTGTTGTCCAGCAAACAATGACCAAGATGCGGTGGTTTAAAAATAGAAAATCTCTAGGATACCTGGGGTTATAGAGGAAGGCCTACATTTACCTCAGATTTTGGGAAGCCAGGAGGGTTCCTGAGACACAGAAAGTCTGAAGTAAGAAAGAATGAGCGGAAGTTGTTTAGGCAAATAGGAGGAGGGAGACAAGTGCCTGTGGCAGAAGGACCAGGAGAGGGAAGGTGCCTTGTTCATACCAATAAGGCAAGATTTTGAAGCATTTTAAGTTGGGAAGAAACCAATTTGTAGGGCAGTTAAAGCTACCTGGAGAGAATGGTGACCTAAGCGAGTATCCTAGCCATGGAGAGAGAAAGGAAACGGTAGAGATTTGCTAGCTGATTGGCTTATGGAGAAGGAAGAAGAGGAAGGAATCTGAGATGCTGTCTGTCTAGGTATTGGCTGGGTCCCTGGCTGACAGGTAAGTAGAGTGCTTCACTGGTTTAGAAAACATGAGAGCAGCAGGATGACAGTGAGTCCATTTGGGGTGGTACTCAGTTGACCTTGAAGGTGGAGAGAGACAGAATAAGAACTTGGAAGTCATGTGTACTTAGTTGTGCAATGATATATAGGGATTTTATGTGCCAGCCAGGTGAAGGAGCCAAAGGAGAAGTTGAAAACATTGGAAGAAAGGAAATCATTATCAGATTGTGGTAGAAAACAGAAATTGGGATATTTTTTTCTATAAAATTTCTTACTATGAAATAATCAAATATAAAGAAAAGCTGAGGGGCTGTGGATTTAGCTCAGTGGCATAAGCACCTGCCTTGCAAGCAGGCAGTCATGAGTTCGATCCCTGGTACCGATAAAAAAAAAAAAGCTGAAAAAACTGTTCAATGAATTCTTATTCATCCTCCACTTATTACTTATATCACCATGCTAGATATATATATATATATATATATATATATATATATATATATATGTGTGTGTGTGTGTCCGTGTTTTATTTTGCAGTTACTTGAGAGTGATAGGCAATGTTACACTTCAACATGCATTTTCTAAAAATAGACTTTCATCTACATAGCCGATCTAAGAAAATAGGTTTCTTAATCTGATATCCAACTCATAGCCAAGATTCCCAAATTGCATTCCAAATATCTGTCATATTTTTTTGAAACTAGAATCCAAGTTATTTTTTTAAAGTCTTTTTAAAGATACGTGTTAGTTATCTATTGCTGTTTAGCACACTAGCCCAAAAATCTAGTGGGTTAAAACAATAAGAGAGGTTTATTATCTCAGGAATTTGAGGACAGTTTGGCTGAGGATTCAATCTCTGATCTCTTCTAAGGCTGCAGTCAAGATATTGGTGGGGGTTGTAGTCAGGCAGACTTCACTGGGCTAAAAGTTCTGCTTTCACCGAAATTGCTCACGCACACTGGTATATGGATGGTAAATTGCTGGCTTTTGGCAGGAGGCTTCAATCTCTTAACATATGGTGCTTTTCATAGAGCTGCTTGAAGACAGATGCTTCCCCAGGGCATCGACACAAAACTGTAGAGCAGAGGCTGCCGTGTCTTCCATGACTGAAGAGTCTGTGGGGCTACAGTCAGTCCTCTCTAAAGGTAGTGGGAGGGAGTGTACAATCAGGAACGCCAAGAGCACCCTTTGGATTGGTCCTTCTGTCTCTCACCATCCGTGACGCTAACTCTGAAAAGAGGGCAAATCAGCTGGCCTGTAGATTGTTCCATATTCTGGAAGTGTCTGGATGTTCCTTCCTGTTGTGATTTGACTTGTTCCACTCTCCTCTGTACTTTCCTAACCCAGAAATTCACCTAGGCTTGACCGCGTTGAAGTTAAGGTGCCTGAGAGAGCAAAGAAAGCCCTTTAACTGAAAATCTATGGGGATCTGTGGTAGCTTCATGTGTCCGTGGGGAAAACCTGGGTGACAACAAGGAAAGTCTCCAGGGCCTGCGTGGAGGGAACAAGAGCACACAGCTGTCTCCGCCGCATGGCTCCAGGCTGCACGTGGATAAGGGAAGCGCGTTCTACACCACACGCCGAAGATGTACTCCTGCACACCAACAGTCTCCAGGTTTTGCACAGCGTCGGAGAGCGTAGAGCTAGCCCGGGGGCGTGGAGAAAGGCGTGGTCACATCTGACCACGCCCTCGGAGGCGGAGCAGCGGCGGTGGCGCCAAATCTCAAACATGGCGCCGGAGCGGGTGCGGAGCCGGGCTCTCTCGGCCTTCAAGCTACGCGGCTTGCTGCTGCGAGGGTGAGTCGGCCCGGGCGTGTTGGCCAGCGGGACGGAGCACCGAAGCTGGGCCGCCACGAAAGCCCAGGCGCGGGCAGCGCCGCGACCTTACACGAGGGATGGACGCTCTCCGCAGGCCTAAGCGGAGAGGCCTATCTGCCGCCGCGGGAATTCCTCGCTGCTGGCTGAAACAAACGCTTCTCCCGGCGGGGCGAGGCTTCGGGCTGTGACCTGCTCCGTCCCCGCTGCGCGTCACCGCGGCGTGATCTCCCCAGCTGGGGCCCCGTGCAGGCCGAGACATAGACCTCCTAAAGTCTTGTTTCCTGGATAATTAAAAAGCGGGTAGATTTTAAGCTTGTTTTCAGATGATCAGTTGGATTTTTTTTTCTTTCTTTTTTTTTTTTTTTTGAGCTTTCCTTTACAGCTCCTCTGGAAGTCCGGTTTCCTAGCACATCGGTGTTTTTTTAGGACTCTTAACATCTCCAGAATTTTTCTTATTAAATCGGCTTTGTTTTTAGAATACAGTATTTAATTTTTTGTTAATGCATGTTTGCGACACTTAGGGGTTGTGTTCAGCCGGGGAGTTTGAGAGTACACATTCAGCTGTTTCATCTGATTGACTCCCTCTGCCTCCCCGGCCCCGCCCCCTCCCACCGCTACAAAGACTACCTTCCTGTTCATAACTTGCCACTGCATTTTGCGCTTTGTGTTTTGAGTCTCTCATATTAGTGAGGCCATGCAATATTTAACCTTTTGTAACTTACCTTCTTAGCATTGTCTAAAGATCCATCCATTTTCTTACAAGTGACTCAATTGCATCCTCCTTTATGGCTGAGTAGTACTCCTTTGTATCTATGGCACATTTTCTTTTTGTTTTTTTTGAAACATGATCTTGCAATGTAATGCAGGCAGGCCTTGAACTCACTGTATGGGCTGATACTTGGTCTGTCTTCCTACCTCAGCCTCCTTAGAATTGGGATCCCCGGTGGGCACCACCATACCAGACTTGCCATATTTTCTTTATCCATTCATCTGTTGATGGGCACTTAGCTCACTTCTATAAGTTAGCTGTTGTGAGTAGAACTGCCCCAAACATGGATATGTATGTATTGCTGTAGAGGATGACTAGCTTTTCTGGGAAGATCCTCAGGAAAGGTATAGCTGGGTCAAATGGAATTTGCTTTAGTTTTTTTGAGGAATCTCCATACTGATTTCCGAAGTAATTGTATTCATTTACATTTTTACCAGCAGTAGCAGGGATTCTTCCCCCCATCTCCTGGTCACCATTTGTGTTTTGAGTACTTAACAATGGCTGTTCTTATTGCAGTAAATGGAATGTGTGCATTTTGAAAATATGAACAGCTGATTAATTTACTTGTTTTTTTTTAAACTTAGAGTTTCACCTAATACTAAACTGTTGTTAATTAATTAACTCAGAAATATGCTTGAATTTTCAGCTGCAAAGCACTGTGCTAGGAGAATGAGAATAAGAGGCTAAAACCCTGTGGAGCTTTATGGTTAGGAGAGTTATTAACTAGTTATCTAGTGCTGCGTACCAAGTTACCCTAAGATGTAGAGGTTTAAGCACCACATGCCAACTATCCCGAATCTTCTATGGGTCAGGAATTCAGGTATGATTTGGTTGGGTCCTCAACTTCAGGGTCTGTCTCACAGGCTGCAGGCTTCTCTTGGGCCTCCCCCTAGCATGTGACTAGTAGGTTCATCAAAGCCATTGAGAGAGTCAGCTGGCAAAACCCAAACCACAGTTTCGGGAACTTAAGAGAGTGACTTCTTGTTACTTTTACAACTTTATTTTAAAATTTTTATTATTGATGGTGCTGGCGATCTAAATCATGGCCTCACACATGCTAGGCAAGTGCTCTACCCCTGAGCTACATCTCCAGCTCTAAATTTTATTTTTGAAATTATAGCACAATAAAGTATTCTCTCCCTTTTACTATATTCTTCTTCCCCCTACCCCCCCACAAGGTCTCTTTATGCAGTTCAGGCTGGCCTTGAGCTCACTTTGTAGCCCAGGCTGGTCTTGAACTCGCAATGATCCTCCTACCTCAGCCTCCTGAGTGCTGGGATTACACGCCCGGCTCTTTTTACTATATTCTTAAAAGTAAGTTGTTAGCTACAGCTCACACTCAGCTGAAGGAATGGCACACAGGCGTGAATATCAGGAGACGGATTAGTTAGGAGTCTATGTACCAGGAATGTGAAACTACAACTTAACAATTACTGAACTTCGTTTGTGAAAAGAATTTACAGAAAGAAGTACCATGAGAGTATGTGACAAGGTAAATAAACTGCTCTAAAGTCAGGAAAAGGCTTCACTGGAGAGTTAGATTGGGTTGTTCAAGGATGGGCAGGATTTGGTTAGTGGAGAGGAGGCTGGGAATAAATGATGTGGACCTGGAAGCTAATAAGCAAGCACCACAAAGGCCAGAGACATTGGATGAGTCTGATAGCATATGGCGAAGGCCAGATTCTTAGTGGCTTGACAAGCTTTAGTCCGTCCCGAGAGCTGTCATCCAAAACGCATGTGATACCAGAGGTCAGCAGATATTTATGGATCACTTTCAAGCTTACTTAGTACCCTACTAAAGGATGACAAAGTTCCAATTCTCAAGTTATCTAATAATTCAGCTTAGTTACCTATAAGAAACAGAAAAAAAAGAACTAGTAGAGATGTGACAACTACAATATGACAGTCAATAAACGCCCCAGTACACAATAGTTAATGTCAGGAACAGAAGAATGACATTGGTGGAAGTGTAAAATAGTGTGCTGCAAATACAAAATTTTTCTAGCCAGCTAATTAAGTGCACTCATTCTGAGCATTATTGGTATTAAAAAGTTATTTTAATATAAACCTAGCTTCTAGCTTCTGTGGTTATATTCTTTTTTTTTTTTTTTTTTTTTTCTGTTTTCTTTTCTTTTTTGGTCTTCTTGAGACAGGTTCTTACTAGACAGTTCAGGCTGGCCTTGAGCTCACTTTGTAGCCCAGGCTGGTTTTGAACTTACAACGATCCCCCTGCTTCAATCTCCTGCTGGAATTACAGGCATGTACCTCCACCCCCAGCTTATAAGGATGAAACTCTCTCTCTCTCTCTCTCTCCCTCTCTTCCTCTCTCCCTCTCTCTCTTTTTTTTTTTTTTTTTGGTACCAGGAATCAAACTTATAACCTTGCACTTGCTAGGTAGGCGTTGTGCCACTGAGCTATATCCTTGGCCCATATTCAATGTTTTTTGCAGCCTTTTTTCTAATTTTACAATTAAAAACTGATTATATGACTACCAGGGCCAATACCTTATCAACTTAATAAATATATCGATGTTTCTTGTGTCCAGGATGTGGTGCTTGAAATCAGGGCAGACAAATTCTTGCCTTAAGTGTAAAGTAATTTTACAAGGCTAATGTGAAATACCAACTTAAGGTACTGTGTATCCAAGGGTGATTTTTAATAATTAGAGAAGGAAGGAGAGTGTGCAACAGGTGGGGCTGCTCTAGGAAGGCTCCTTAGACGGAGGATGTGGCTTGGAGCTTTAAGAATGGTTGTGTGAGGGGGCTGGGGATTTAGCTCAGCGGCAGAAGTGCCTGCCTTGTAAGTGCGCAGTCCTGAGTTGATCCCTGGTACCTTTTTAAAAACAAACAAAAACAATGGCTCTGTGAGCAGAGGAAGAAAGGACAGTTTTGCTCAGAAAGTACAGAAAAGCCAACCACTGCATGGGAGGAGCAAGTGGATCTTAATTTCTTTTATTTTTCCTGGTACTGGGAATTGAACTCAGGGTTTTGTGCTTGCCGGCAGGCACTGTGACACTGGATCTTAATTTCTTTTTTTTTTTTTTTTTTTGGTCTTTTTCGGTACCAGGGATTGAACTCACAACTGCACACTTGCAAGGCAGGCGCTTATGCCACTGAGCTAAATCCCTAGCCCCTGGATCTTAATTTCAATACCAATTTGTTGAGTATTTGCTACTTCTCAGCATAGAATTTTTAGCCTTTAATAACCAGTGACCTGCTTCACCTTTTTTTCTCTGTCTTACCAGAGAAGCTATTAAGTACCTCACAGAAGCTCTGCAGTCTGTCAATGAATTAGAGCTTGAAGATACCCTGGAAAAGATCATCGATGCAGTGGAAAAGCAGCCTTGTAAGCAGCGTTTTGTGAGAACTCTTGAATTATTAACCTTGCTTTTTATCTCAGTTAGATTTATATATTTTATTAAAGAGAAGTTGAGGCTTCAGTGTTGTGTTCCAGTGTTGCATGGTAGTATTTCTTCCAAGAGAGCTGTTCAGTTATAACATCAGGACGTTCCCCAGAAAACCTTTTACCAGCCGGCATGGTGGCTCACACCTATAATCCCAGCACTTGGGAGGCTGAGGCAGGAGGATTATTGCATGTTCAGGCCCAGCCTGGGCTACATAGTGAGCTCAAGGCCCGCCTGAACCACATAGTGAGACTCGTCTCAAAAAACAAAAACAAAATAACAAACAAACCTTTCACCTTTTTCTACCTTGGTGGAGTGAGCACAGAATCTTTTTCTGTACTATCCTTTGAGGTCACTTGTTTATCTGCACGCCTCTTGCTCTTTCAAAATATTTGGAGGGGAGAGGAGAAAAGTGTGCAAGATTAATTCTTCCTTCGGGGATCTTTCAGTTAAATACTTTGACACCACAAGCATGGGCCTGCAAAGAAGAAATGCTGTTCTCTTTCAGAAAAAAAAAATGTTGACTCTCTCTAGTATAGGTCCAGTGTCCAGAAGGCTAGAAGTGGGTGTGGCTCACTCATGTTCTGGTACTGAATATTTAACTATGTAGGATGCAACGTGTTCTTTGATATGAAGGGAAATGTTATATCTCATTTTCATTTCTAAAGGCAGATTCTAAACAGAAACCTCCCTTTAAAAAATTTCTTCACAACTGAAAATTTAGAAAATGATGTTTACCAGTAATTATTGTGTATGTTAATCATATGTTAATTGAAGATGGCATGTAGCATTTCGCCTGAAGATGTCCCTGAGTAACCATTCACTTGCTCATTTTGGGATCAGACCTGGATTTGTGTTGTGTTCTTCCCCTTCTAGTGTATTCTTGGGTGCCTGTTCAACTTTTCAAACTTACACTTTCTACACATAAGATATGGGCACCCTAGCATCAGTGTTAAAGAGGCCGTTGTCTAATGGGATGGTGCTTGTGAACTACTAAGCACAGTGCTACACATTTATTAAATGCTTCTCATTACTCCTTCTGTTAGAACTAATGGAAATCTGACCTTGAACTTCTCTCTGCAGTGTCATCAAACATGATTGAACGATCTGCAGTGGAAACTGCGGTCCAGGAATGCAGTCGGTCAGCTGAGGAAACTATGTATGTGCCTAAAGTTAGCGCTTTTCTCTATTGGGGTGTTACTGAGTGCTTGTTTTCAACTACTTGTTAGGGTCATAATCAGTAAACATTTCTACAGTGGTCCCTGTCATTATTTGGATTTTTTTTTGTTGTTAGTGACAGTCTCCATTATAAACCACGTTATTAAATGACTTTTTAAAAATGTTTTCTTAGGATATGAAGTAACAGTATTATTTGTACCATTACTGATTTTTGCTGCTGTGTCCAGCCAATCCAACTTTATATTCCTAATGAATGGAACTGAGTCTCAGAAGCGTAATGTACTTCTGCTCTTAGGAAAGTCCTGAGCCTGCCGAAGTTCAGTGACTTAACTTGGTCACATTGTGAATGCAGAGGGGGGTAAAACCTCCATTTATGACTCTTGTCACTCGCCAGTATTTTTAAGTTTGGGAATTTATGCAGCAGTACTTTGGAGGGTGGTATTTCTCTGAATGTCTCTTTTTTCCCTTCCTTATGATACTTTCAAATTAATGAAATTTAACTGGCAGGAAAATATGTGGGGCAGTGAGCGTGGAAACAGTTTTTCACTTTAACAGTTCTTTCCTATTTGGGACAATGGAAATGATCAAAAAGAGTTTTGATCCTTATTTTGGCTAATGGGTTTTTCTCTTTCAGAACTTTATTAGAACTGCTAAAAATAGAGAGGTTGAAGAGTTTTGATTTTATTCTTGCAAACTCTTCTAAAATACCACAGTGCAGTGTCATGCCTTGAAGTCATCCACAGGAATTCATAATGGTGGAGTATAAGGGTTATAATCCAAAAATAGGCTTTACCTGTTGTTTGCTCTGAAGTTGCCTGACATTTCTGTCAGGCTCTTTATCTGTGTGGTTCTAGTGGGGACCAATGATCACAGATCTTTGCAGCTACAGTTGTCAGGCAGAGTCATTCTGTCACAGCACAAGAAAGATGCTCTCACATATACTCGTGAAGGAGCGGCCTGACACCTTAGATAACACACTGAGAGTGATCCACCAGAAACCAGTGAAGCTGTGTCTAGAATTTAGGTTTTCTCCAAGTCCAACCATTCTTTGCCTTTCTTATTATTACAACCAGGACTGTGTCATTTATTTATTTATTTACCATTTCCAGTTTGGGAGATAAATAATTTTAAGAAAGATTTATTTTTAGGTTGGGGTATTTATGTAAAAGTGTTACAAATTTTTTTTAAACTCTTTGAGGCATGATTATGTTATGAACAGTATCTGAAATTAAATTATTTTGTTAGTTTTCTATCCCTGACACTATAAATCTCTAGCATTATGTCAGGCTTTTGAGAATTCTTTTTCGGTTATAAAACTTTTTTTTTGTTGTTGTTGTTGTTTTGGTACCGGGAATCTAACTCATGCTTGCCAGGGAGGCTCTGTGCCACTGAGCTATATCTCTGGCCCTATAAAACTTTTTTTTGGAACACTTTTTGCTTAACACTTTTTTTTCTTTTTTTTTTTTTTTAACTGGGAAGGGATAGAACTCATGACCTCGTGCTCGCTTCAGCAGCACATGTATTTAAAACTGGAACGATACAGAGAAGATTAGCATGGCCCCTGTGCATGGATGACACACAAATTCATGAAGCGTTCCATATTTTTGTATCATTGAACAGAATGGTTTGCACTGTCAGTGTTTGAGTGTCTATCCACTTTTTATGCTTCGATTTTGTAACTTGAACAGCTATTTCTAAGACTATCAACTAGTGATTTCTTACTGTTAATATTTTTTTGAAATTCTGTATTATTTCTACCATTTTTTCTGTTTTTTTCTTTTTTCTTTAAATAAAAAAAGAACTCATGACCTTATACTTGCCAGGCAAGTGCTTGTACTGCTGAGCTAAATCCCCAGCCCTTGCTTAATACTTTAGATTTAAAAATTGTTGGAAGTGAATCAGATCCTTTTATGCTTCATATATCATAAAGTAGTTACAGAAAGATTTCTTTAGCAGAAATATTTTATGTGTATATGTTCTTTTTCAGCAGATAAGTTGTTTTCCTTTTTTTGTTTTTTTAGATTCTCAATTAGAAGTTAACTTGATTGATTTTATTTCTTGAGAATATCAGGAATGCTTTCTTGTCTCTTGAAGGAGAATTCACAAGCTAAAACTTTATCCCTGTTGTTTTTGACACTGTAAGAAATTATGAGCTGAGTATGGTGGTGGCATGCCTATCAACCACCTACTCAGGAGGCCAAAGCAAAGAGATTATAAGTTCAAGACCAGCTGGACAATTTATTGAGACCCTGTTTTATAAAATAAAATAAATGAAATATCAGGGAATCAGCTGAGTAGTAGAGTGCTTGCCTAGAATGTGTGAAACCCTAGATTTAATCCCACAGACAGAAAGAAAAATAGAAAAAAGGAAAGCATGGAAGGAAGAGGGAAGGAAGGAAGGAAAGAAGGAAGAAAGAAAAAGAAAAATTATGTATGTGATTTGAGAAAATATGAAAAATAGATTATATGTGATATAGAATTACCACATTTTAGTAAATCAGATCTGTATTTTGTGGGATGTTTTTCAGAGAGCATATTTTCAATATCATAGGAGCTTTTGATGTTCCACGCTTCGTGTACCATTCAGGAAGAAAAAAATTTCTCCCGTAAGTGTACTGGCTATTGATTTTAAATTAATTTCAAATGTGCCTTTTTTTCCAAAAGATGTATAGTCTCATGTTTCAATCCTTGCCTACCTTTGTGCATTTATGATAATAAAGACAGCTGTTCCTTTTTCCAGTCTGTTAATGACCAACCACCCTGAACCAAATTTATTTGGAACAGCAAGAGACAAAGCAGAGCTGTACCGCGAACGATACACCATTTTACATCAGGTAAGCTGACAAATGACAGCTGCTGGTAAACGCAGACTCTGTTTCAGAAAATCTCAGGGACATGTAGAGGACCGAGTTCTGTATTCCAAGTTGCTTGTTCTGTAGACTGTTACTGGACTGTAATTGAGACCACATAGGGAATATAGAGAGGTAGAAGAGAATCCTTTTAAACCTGCTGTGGCAAATGCCTGTAATCCTAGCACTTTGGGAGGCCGAGGCAGGTGGATTGCAAGTTCAGGTCCTGCCTGGCTGATTTATCAAGGCCCCGTCTGTCTCAGAATAAAGTAAAAAGGGCTGGGAATGTAGCTCAGGGGTAGAGCACCCTGTGTTTGATTCCCAGTACCCCCCTCCCTACACACCCACAGAGCACCCTTAATAAAACAATTTTTTCAAAAGGAACTGCCATTTAATATGTCGTTTTGACATGCCAGATACTGTGTTTAGCACTTTATATAAATTATTTGCCTCATTTCCTCCATAACACTTAATAGATGTATAAATGCTACCATTATCCTCCATTGAGGACAGGAAACAGAGGCCCAGAAGGGTTTAGTGAGTTGCCCAAAGATCCCAGCTAGTAGGTAAGGGTAGGATTTGAATCCAGGCTGTTAGACTCTGGAGCCCAGCTTTGCCTGCTGTGGTCTTCAGTGCGTGGCCCTCGAGGGGAGGAGCACATCCTTTGGAAGAATGAGGGCGGCATGGGAGACACAGTGCCCTGTGGCAGGTGGGGCGGGTAGAAGTGGGGTGGCAGCATGAAGGCAGGCATAGTCCAGGAGAAGCTGGGCGTGATGTGGGAAAGGCTGGGCACGGGAAGGGCTTTGGAAGGGTGAGTGGCCCTGGATGTGGGAGCACTGTGGACGCCACTTTTGAAGCTGGGACTTGGTTCTCCGGTCCGGCCCTGTGCTGGCAGAGCCCCACAATGGCATGTGCCTCCAGGCGTTGCACAAAGGCTGCTGGGAGGGCATAGTGACAGCTCGTCTGGAGCTGAGGAAAGAGGCTGGTAGAGGGCTGAGAAATGGAGCTCAGGGCTGAGACCTGAGAGGAGGAGACGAGGGCAGTGCCGGCTGGGCTGGTGTGGCCCGGAGGTGAGTGCAGTGAGCCCTGACAGGTGGGGACAGCTGCCAGGATCTCTGTTCACGGCTGCTTCCATTGCCTGCATTTATCTTCCCAGCTGTGACTCTGGTCTCCTGGTTTCACATCGAGCCTTTCAAGGCAGCTGAATTAAGTGCACATTAGCTTTAGTATTTGAGATCTGTCACACATTCTGGCCTGGTCTCTTTTCCCTTAGTCATTGTCTGCCGGAGGCAAAACTGAAATACAGAACTTGGAGCAAAATGGGAAGTGGGGATTGAACTCAGGATCTTGGCATTGAGCTACATCCTTAGCCTTTCTTTTATATTTTGAAAGAAAAAGGTCTATACTGTTACCCAGGCTGGGCTAGAACTATGTCTTTCTTTTTTTTTTTTTTTTTTTTTGAACTATCTGTCTTTCTGTATCAGCCTCCCAGAGTGCTGGATTAAGGTGTGAGCCACCACACCCAGCTTGAAATGTGGGACGTTCTGTAATTTTGCTGGTGCTGCTGACTGCTCTTCCCCCTGATGTTTACAGTAAAACTATGCTAATTTTGGGAGGCCCTTCTCAGATTCCTATTTTGAAGCCCTTCTTGATTTCCAGTTAGACTGTGCCCAGAGAAATGTCTCCTTAAGAATTGGCTCTATAGGGGCTGGGGATTTAACTCAGTGGCTTAAGCGCCTGCCTTGCAAGTGTGTGGTCATGAGTTCGATCCCCGGTATCCAAAAAAAAAAAAAAAAAAAAGAACTGGCCCTGCTGGGGAGTCAGTGTTTCTCTCTCTTACAAGCCTGTAGACTCATTGTTAATTTCTTCTGCCTTGGTTTGGCACATTGCTTTCTTTGTTGTTGTTATTGTATTGGGGATTGAAACCAAGGCTTTTGCACCTAAAACTACATGCCAGGCCCATTTAAAATTTTTTTTTATTTTTACTTTTTAGTTTGAGACAGGGTTTTGCTAAAATTGCCTAGACTGGGCTCAAATTTACAATCCTCCTGCCTCAACCTCCCAGAGTGCTGGGATTACTCGAATGTGGCAATACACCCAACTCACAGGGCTTATCACAGAGCTGTTCAGTAATTTTGTTTGTTTTCTTTTGGTGTTTGTTGGCTGGTTTGTTTTGAGACAGGGTCTCACTAGGTAGTCCTCTGGCCTTAGCCTCCTAATGATCCTCCTGCCTCAGCAAATGCATCACCATGCCTGGCTCCACATTTGTTTCTTAAGAACTATATTTTACAGTGTTATATTGTTCTATGTGTTTAAAATATGTTTTAAAGCAGCCAAGCGTGGTGGTTTATGCCTGTAACCCCAGCACCTGAGAGGCTGAGGCAGGAGAATTCCTGTGAGGTTGAGGCCTGCATGGCCTACATTGTGAGACCCTGTCTCAAAAACAAAGAGTGTTTTAAAGTGCTAGGTTGTTTTGGAAATCTGACTTAGACCTTCTGAGCATCATTTCTGTGCCATGAAAAGACTGCATGTCTAGCCATTCATATTTTCATTGCAATTAACCTTCTGAAAGCAAATTTGATTTTATCATCCTTCTGAGTCTATTTTCTGTTGTCTATAACATAAATTTCTTGACTTGGCATGGAAGTTCTATATTATAGCGGCTCTTTTAGTTTGAAGTTAGAGCAACTCAAATTGACTAAATCTGAAAAAGGAACATGTTAGCTTAGCTCGGGTGACTGAGAAGTCCAGAGCTCTGCTGGTTTCAAGCATGACTGGATCCAGGTGCTCACACAGTGGCACAGGGCATCTTGCTTTCTCTGTCTTGCTCTTTTTAATAATTGACTACTTTCAAGTAAGAGCCTTCCAAGGAGTGAGAAAAACTGCACTGGCAGCTCTAGTAATTCTCAGAAGGAGAGCTCCTCTTCCTCGGTAGTTCTGCAGAAGCTGAGTGTGTCCTGTACTGGCCTCGCCTGAGGCACGTGTTCATCCTTGAGTTGATCCCTGGCCAAGATGGAGCACTTCTGTGGCCCAGGCCTTCCTGGGCTGTCTGTGAAATTTTCAATTTTTAATTTGATTTTACTAGACATCTGTATGCTCTTGAATTATTTTCATTTTCAAATTTGTAGAGAATATGTAATAGTAACAATTTTAGGGCAGCGTTTGGTCTTCTTCCTATTTTAATGAACCTTAGTTTTAAATGTCTGCTTCAGTAATTCATTTGAATCTTTTTTTTAATAGAGGACCCACAGACATGAATTATTTACTCCGCCAGTGGTTGGTTCTCACCCTGATGCAATGGGAAGCAAATTCCAGGTGAGCATATTATCCTACTTCCTGAGAGGTTGTAAGTATACAAAATTAATATTTATTATTTAATTTCAGTTGACTGAATTCTAAATGAAAATAACTACTGCACTTCAGCTAACCAGTTGGCTGTGTGCCAGCTGTTGAGAAAGCCCCACACCCAGAGCTGTGTCCTGAACTCTGACAGAAGTCACTGCTTCCTTCTGAGGCCAGTACAGCCCCCTGCACCTGCTGTGGCCACCCAGAATGTCCCCCAGTCTCCCAGCGCATCTGTGGGCTGCTTCACTGGCTCTGGCCAGTTTGCAGCATTGCTCTTCCGGCCTTCCCTCCTCTAACAAACACTGGTCCCCTGAGGAGTGCACACACTGCCACACTTGTTCAGCTAACATGTGCTCCTTGATTGGGAGTAGAAACTTTACTTAAGGTACTAAGGAAACATGGAGTTAAATCCCCAGCCCCGAAACAGACACTAACTAAAGAAGACACTAAGGAAGCATTTCTAGAATGAATATAAGACTGTTTCCCGGCCCAGGGTTGAACACACCTGAGGGGCTCGGAAGACGGGAAGCTGTTTTCTGAGGATAAAAATGAGAAGTGTGCGCTCTTTTCCCTTATATACCCGTACACTGTGGAAAGCAGGTTCCAGCGCGCTCTGCTGCTGCTCCAGTGACATGGCTGGCTGCACTGCCGTGGCGCTGTCCCTCTCGTCAGCATGCCAAATGCTGGCCTCAGCGATTCCATGAGGCTTTGAAGAGGCCCAGACTCTTCTGATTCATGACTTCTCTACCGCAGTAGATCAGGACTCTAGAAAAGCAGTCTGTTAGAAACACTCATGGGTGATGTTCAAGTTGGTATGTTGGCCGCACTGCAGGGAGAAAACATTGGTAGTGTTTCACAGTTTCTTTAACTGCTCTTAGACTAGAAATTGGGTTGACTTTTGAAAATTGACATTATTGAGCCAGGAATAGTGGTGCACCCCTTTAATCCCAGTACTCAGGAGGCTGAGGCAGGGTGATCACCATGAATTTGAGGCCAGTCTGGGCTATGTAGTGAGTTCCAGGTCAACCTGAAGTGTATAGTGAGATCCGGTGTCACAAAACAAACAGAAGAAAAAGAAAGAAAATTGACATTATTTACATTTTCCTACCAAAGACCTCTCAGTTTTTCTCGTATATATTTTGTTCCTATGGCAACTCAGATTTCATTGTTCAGAAGCAATTTTTTCTCCTCTTTGCCAAAGAAACTTTGAGGCTTAGCTGAATTTCGTTCTTTACAGTCTTTTGGTTTAATTCTGCAGCTATGCTGGCTCATTACCTATTTAAATCCATTTATAGTAGCTGAGCAGTAACCTCCCTTGGCAAACTAAAAATATGGCCCGGCTAGAAATAATCTGTCGAGTTTCATTCTCTGTTGCGTTAGGCTTGAGTTTGTTTGTTTGTTTGTTTGTTTGTTTTTTGTACCAGGGATCGAACTCATGACCTTTGTCATGCTGTGCTGCTGAGCTATATCCCTGACTCCTAGAGTTGAGTTTTTAAATGAAACTCCTATTATCAAATATTAAGTAATTATAGGGGATGGTGGAATTATGTATGTCTAGATTTCTTTTATTTTTAAATTTGTTTTATAGTAAACAAAAATCATCTCTAGATTACTTACAATGTTAAGTCACTATAAGCACTCTGAGTGTTATACTATACCGTTTGGGGAATAATGACAAAAATGAAATATTTGTGCATGTTCAATACAGGCACAGTTTTGTTTTCAAGTATATTTGATGTGAAATTGGTTATATCTACTGAAGTAGAACCCATAGATACAGATGGCTGACTGTCTAGATGTATGTTATTAATATAGATTTAGAGATGTGTATAGAAAAACTCAGTGAATTTTTAAAGATGGTGTCCCAATTCTTACTGCTTTAACTTTCAGATAAGATTGTAAAGGTTAGATGGAAAATGTAATTAATAATGACAACTATTCAATATGTTAAATAAAATTAGAATATAACTTTTTAAAATTCACTGAATATGGAGAGGTACTGATCAGTCAAATATATAAAATTGATATTCTATATTTTAAAAAGATATACTAATTCAGAATGATATGTCATAAGGTTTTAGTCATTGGTAAAAGCTTGAATTCATATAGTATTTTATATTACTTATAGTATATAATTCTTTAGCCCATCATGAGTGTGGCATCTTAGCTTTTTGTATATAAACTTTCTAAGTTTTATTTGATTTTCTACTGTTAAGTGCCTGTAAAAACCAAAATGTACATCCAAATTTACTTACTTAGGAAAAAATTAATTTCTTAATGCCCTTTTAATCTTTAGAATTTTTTGTGCTTTATTTTAGCTTAAAACAATAGAAAGTTTACTGGGCAGTACAACCAAGATCGGAGATGTGATTGTGCTTGGAATGATAACCCAGTTAAAAGAGGTAAGTTAAAAAGTGGAACTAAAGTAGATCATGTGCAGGTACAAATTCCCTGTGATGAATGTGACCATTATGTATATCTAAACAGTACCAATAAACTTAATTTTTAAAAAAGTATATTATGTACATGTGTTATGTACATGTACCAATCCATTCATGGAATGTAAATGTTATGTACTGCAAATACATACTAATAAAGTAAAAGTTAAACTGGAAAAAAAGAGGTAAGTTAAACTTCAGTAAGCAGCAGGTTTTTCTTTTCAGGCTGGGTTGGTGAAATGCTGGTGCCATGGAGCATTTCCACAGGAAGGTTTTCTTCACTGGAAACTCGCTTCACACACTAAATGACCATTTCATCTGTGTTTCCTGAGTAGACAGCAGGAAGGGGTTTCTTGTCCAGGTGCCCAATTTGCATAGTCCGAAACTAGCGTCCAGCAGCATCTGGTTGAACTGAGAGCTACAGACCACATCCTGGTGTCCTGCTGGCTGTGGCTCCAGGCAGAGGCACCTGGTGAGGCCTTCCTGTTTCGGCCAGTCCAGGTGCCTATGGCTAGCTCTTGATCTGCAGCAGCCATTCCTCAGGACACTGTGACAGTTCTAGGTCAGTTAACTCATTAGTCTGAGGTCCCCAAATTACTGAAAATCCCGGCTGGGAAACGCTGATATTTAAAAATGTGTTCTTGGCTCTATTTTCTTCTGTTGTAAAATGTTAATATTTTAATTAGTTTTTCATAATATTTATTTTTACATAAATGTACATGTGTTTCTTTTAATTCTGTTTTAGGGGAAATTTTTTTTGGAAGATCCTACTGGAACAGTACAACTAGATCTTAGTAAAGCTATATCCTTTTATTTTGTGTTGTTTTTTGAGACCGATTCTTGCCATGTTATCCAGGTTGGTCTCAAATTCTTAGGCTTAGGTATCCTGCTGCCTCCATCTCCTAAGTCACTAGGATTACAGGCATGTGTCACCACTCCCACCTTCTTTACTTTTTAAAATGTATATTTTTAAAATTTATGTGAGTGCCGGGGTTTAGCTCAGTGATACAAGTGCCTGCCTGGAAAATGTGAGATCGTAGGTTCGATCCTTGTACTAGGAAGTGGTGGTAGTGATGGGGGTGCAGGGCATAGGGACCTGCTTGGCAAGTGCAAGGTTTTGAGTTTGATCCCCAGCACCAAAAAAATAAATAACATAAAACAAAATATGTGACATGAATTAGAGAAACTGACTGTATTTGAAACAATAGAAGTACAATCCTAAGAGACAAAAAAGGACTTTGAATCGTATTTATTTGGAGAATTTCAGATAAACCACTGAGGAAGTTTAAAATATGGATAAGAATGATCAAAACAGTATTACCAAACTACCTTTTAAGTAAACATGGGAACATTAAAATCTAAAACTGTCTAAGTCTAAGCTGTTCATGGAAGTCTGAATTACATAATTTAGAAATCTTGGGCTCAGTGTGTATTTTGACTTTACTGTTGCTTCAGACATAGAAATAGAACAATTTTCCTCAGCAGCTGTGTACCAGTTCCATAGTGGTTTGTACACAGAGGCGTGCTTTGTCTTGGCAGAAGGTAAGTCACTGTACTCTCTTCCTGTCTTACTGTTTCTACACTGGGTGAGATATATTCACATAATATAGTTTAGGAAGACATTGATTATGACAGCATCTTTTTGTCAACATAAAGGAACCCAGCCTGATAGGCAAATAGAAACCTCTCCAGGATGATAGATCTGTTTTCAAGCTAATAGGAGTAACACCCTTTAAATACACTAAAAACCACCGAGTTGTACCCTTTTAAAGGGTGAATTGAATGGTATGTGAACTATACCTCAATAAAGTTGGAAAAAACTTGTTAGATTTTAATAGGGTCATAAAATGAAACATTTCCTAGTACATATATATAGTGTATGTAATTTTTCTATACTCCAGCATGTACTATGGAATTAAAAAGTATAACCCCTTAGCACCAAAAAGGTGCTTTACTTCAGAATCGCTTTCTAGTTAATGAACTTTAATTTATAGAATTTATGTATTTATTTTTGAGACAGGACTCACCATATAGTTGAGGCTGACCTTAAACTCACTAAGTAGCTCAGGTTGGCCTGGAACTCACAGTGATCCTCCTGCCTCAGCCTCCCAAGTGCTGGGATGACAGGTGTGTGCCACCAAGCCCAGCTATTGATAGGATTTAGACTATGGCTCTGAAGTTGTTAAATGAGGGCCAGTGGGGTTGGCAGATTCTGTAGTTAACTCTCAGGCATGGACTCTAGCCTGGCAGTTTTGCTTTGTATAACAGTTTTGTCCTTGCAGACTAGAGAGAGAATTGGGCAAGTGGAAGTGATTTGTTTCTCATCTTTTTTCAGGATGGTTTGAAGATCAAGTGTTTCATGTCAATGCTTTTGGGTTTCCACCCACTGAACCCTCCAGTACTACCAGGTATTAAAATGTTTGATTTAAACTCTACAGGAACTTGATAATACTGAAGGCAGTAAATATATGTGTATTATTGTAATTATTACAAGATCTCAGGCTCTGTGTTAAGATGGAAAGAGCAATGGAAAATGAGAGTTGGAAGACCCAGTTTTTATATGTATAGCTGAAAACTGGCAGATTGGCCTGAGATTAGTGACAGTAACAAGTCTGTACATTTGCTTTCACTGGGGAAGATTTCCAGGGTACTTGTCTTACCTGTCTATAAGGTTGGTAAGAAGTGAGATAAAAGAGATAGGAAAACACTTAGAAGAATGTAATTACCATGTTTACATAAAGGTCTTTATGAAAAAAGTTATATGACTGTTATGAGATAGTTTGTAGCTCCTTGATATAAGCAAAAGCATCATAATATTAGAACTATTCCAAAAGAACCTTTCAGAGTGAAGCGAGTTCCCTATTACTCAAAGTAAAATTTGGACATGGTGGTGCTCATTTGTAGTCTGTGATCCAGTACTTTTAGAGATTGAAGCAGGAAGATCCCAAGTTTGAGCCCAGTCTGGGAAGCTTAGTAACTGAGACTTTGTCTCAAAAATAAATAAGTGAACAAAAGAGCTGAGGATATAACTTAGTGCAGAGACCCTGAGTTCAAGTCCCAGTATCACACACAGGCACACACAAAGTATTTGAGCAGAGGCTGAATGATGGTGTGAAAGTTGTAGCTGGGGCCCTGAGGATTGAATACAGTGTGCTCTTTTCCCACTGAGTTGTTCAACAACATTTCAAATTAGTTCCCAGTGTATAGAAATTAGGAGGCTTCTCACAAAGCTCTAGTATATCTGAAGCTGCATATCTGACAGGGCACCTGAGTCTGCACCTGGCAACAGTGCACTGCAGGGAGCGTGCACCCAGGGCAGGGCTGTGTGACCTGCTTGGTCTCAGCTGGCTGCTGCTTTGATATCGTTACCTGCTGGGAGCCTGTAAACAGTCAGGTCTTCTACTTGCTTCCTTCTTTGTACCTTAAATTCCATGGACCAAGGAAGATATTAGAAAGGCTTTTCTCAGCTTTAATTTCTCTAGGTTTGCCTCGATTGGTGCTTCTTTCTGTGATACTCTGGTTTACATCTGGGTGTATACTTGAGTCATACAATTATATGTGCTTACCAAATTCCTCTAGTGACAGTAAGGTTGTAACTGTAAGGCCTTACTTTTGCCATACTGTGTCAGCAACAATAACTGCACCCATGACCAAGTGCTTACAAGTACTAAGAACTATGTATGCCCTAAATATCTTCTGCACATTATCTCTTATAGCTTCTAGAAACCTCGTGTAATGAGTATGAGTCTAGCTGCTGTGTTTCAGGAGAGTTTAGCCTAAGGAGTGTTGAGTAATTTGTCCAAAGTCACAAGATTTCTTAGTAGGAGTGATGTGCTCTTAATTTTAAACCTGCTGACTTGGCCAGCTGTTGTGTTGCATTGTAAGTATTTGAGTCATAACCGTTTTGTTCTGAGGATATGTGCAGTGGTGGAGCACACATAAAGCAGGGTGGTTTAATCCCAAATGCACACACACACACACACACACACACACACACACACACACAGATACACACACACGGAGTTTTTTTTTTTTTTATATTACTAATGTAGTCTATGATTGGGGGGAAAAGGCACTTAGAAATATAATAAAGACACCATTAAAAGAATATTACCTTTAATTCTGTCAAACAGAGAAACTATTAAGACTGTTTTAAATATACACACGTAAATATTGTGCATATAAATGGCTTCTTGTTACTTATGGGTTCTAGCTAAAATCTATCTGTACACCCACAGTGCTGCAGGCATCCTAATTTCTCAGTGAAGAGAATATAAGGTAGAAGATAATAATTGTCTTGTGGACACAATGAATAATTTGAGTTGCTAGGCTTATGGTCCCAGGGGAAGTAGGACAGAGTGATACTGCACTCTTTTTTTGGCCTCATTAAAAAGAGGTGACAGAGGACAGAGAACACCTGGGCACAGGAGGCTGGCAATGGAAGAGGCTCCAGAGCTGGGGCAGGAGGGCCTGGGGTGAAGGTTTCTCTCTGCTCTCTTTTTTGGGGTAATATAAAAGGACGCATACGGGGCATTCTTATTTTTTTTCTTGGTGCTGGGGATCAAATTCACAATCTCACGCTCACCATGTAGGCGCTTATACCACTAAGCTAAATCCCCAGCCCCGGGCATTCTTTTGTAACCAGTTTTTCTTTCTTTCTTTCTTTCTTTTCTTTTTTTTTTTTTTGTAATTTAATAATATGCTGTTAGCATTTTCCATGTGTTTCTACATGATTTGTGACATTCAGCACATCTGTAACTTCTTGGTGAAGAGACCGTAAGGTTGATGATAATAATTATGTTATAATTACATAGGGCATACTATGGAAATATTAATTTTTTTGGAGGGCCTTTCAATACATCTGTAAAGACTTCTGCAAAACTAAAACAACTTGAAGATGAAAATAAAGATGCCATGTTTGTGTTTATATCTGACGTCTGGTTGGACCAAGTAGAAGTGTTGGAAAAACTTCACACAATGTTTTCTGGTGAGTATCATTTTTTCCATTCTTTATTTGAACTGTGATGAGGGTTCATGTTTTTGTTTTTTTTGTCTTTTTCGTTTTTTATCGGTACCAGGGATCGAACTCATGACTGCCTGCTTGCAAGGCAGGCGCTTATGCTGCTGAGCTAAATCCCCATCCCCGAGGGTTCATGTTTTAACACTAAATTCTTGCTGGAGGTGAATGTCAGTTCCAGCTACTTAGGAGGCTTGGGCAGAAAGTTCCCTGAACCCATGAATTTGAGACAACTTGGGCAACACAGCAAGATCTTGCCATGAGTTTTTTAAAGAAAATTTAAAAGCGATTTTTACATTTGAAAAATAACCATGTTATATGCGTGCATACTCATCACACGTTAGAATTGGTGCTGAGCGTGGTGTGCATGGAGACCGAGGCTGACAGCTTGGTCTGCTGGAACTGACAGAACCATGTTAGGTGCCTCCCTCACTCCTTGGGTGGCTTATTAACCTCTTTTAGCCTCCGAGTGGAGGGATGCTCTGAGGGTCATTAAACTCCTACAGGCCATCACATATACTAAGTTCTCAACAAATGGACATTATTGTTACCCAAAAAATCAGTTGTCAAGACAGTAACTTTTTAATAAAAACACAGTTAGGGGGTGAGGGTGTAGTTAACAGTAGAGGACTTGCTTAGTATGTATGGGCCCTCAACACTGGTGGCAGGGAAGCGTCTTGAAATGCTGGGCCCAGTGGAACACTGTACTCCCAGCTACTTGAAAGGCTGGAAGATCATTTGAGTTCAAGAATTAGAGGCCAACTTGGGCATTGTAGTGATACCTCATTTCTTTTTTTTTTTTGGTACCGGGGATTGAACTCATGACCTTGCTCTTGTTAGGGCAAGTGCTTACGCCACTGAGCTAAATCCCCGGCCCGATACCTCATTTCAAAACAACAAAAACTATGGTTAAAGAATTTTCAACTTGATGAGAAAAAATTTTTTAAATTTTTTAATTTTCTAGGTTATTCACCAGCACCTCCAACATGCTTTATTCTGTGTGGTAACTTTTCATCAGCACCATATGGGAAAAATCAAGTTCAGGCTTTGAAAGGTATTGAGGCTGTGTGTGTGTGTGTGTGTGTGTGTGTGTGTGTGTGTGTGTTGATTCATTGTTATTTATTTGCTTTTTTGAGACAGAGCCTTGCTGTGTAGTTCAGTCTGGCCTTGAAACTCATTTTGTAGCTCAGTCTAGTCTTGAACTCATGGAGATCTTTCTACCTCCGCCTTCCAAGTGCAGGGCTTACAGGTATGCATCACCACGTCTGGTTTGAGGCTCTGTTTAAGAGTGTTTCTGCGCCAGGTGTGATGCACATCTGTAATTCCAGCACTTGGGAGGCTGAGGCAGGAGGAACGTTGTGAGTTCGGAACCAGCCTGGGTTACAAAATGAGCTCAAGGCCAGCCTGACCTGCATAGCAAGACCTTATCTCAAAAAGATTAAAAAAAAAAGTGTTTCTCTATATATACAAACTAAAGCAATAAGAAACTATATTTTAATCTCATTCAAAAGATTTGGAATTCTGTTCAATCAAATATAACTTGATTTTGTATATATTATATGCACATTAAATTTAATATCCTTTTAAAATTTTAGATTCCCTAAAGACTTTGGCAGACATAATATGTGAACATCCAAATATTCACCAAAGGTAATGATCTCTATTGCTACATTTTTTTCAAATAGTTTTTATTTTTGAAAACCAAAAATGAATCCTAAAACTTGAATCATTGATTTTTAAGAAACTGATAGACAAAAGAAGAGAAAATTAATTAAAAGAGCTGTGATAAAAATATACTCACACCAAAATACTGTGTATGTTACACTATTCTATAGATTGATAGTAGAAAGTATTAAAGGGGATACTGATAATTTTAACCATATTTTTGGTGACATTATTTGTCCATAACTTCGTTCTTCAATATCACATAGGCACATATGTTTCTTTAGAGTTAAATTAATTAAACTTTAATAAAATTTAGTGGTGGCACTGGTGGCAGGGAAGCGTAGTGTAGCCCTCCCACCACACTGGCCAAAGTTTAAGCCCTCAATAACTGGACAGTACAAATATAAAACATTCTCGTTGTCACACTATTGGAGACCTAGCAGTTTACTGAAATGTGTAAAATTTAGAAATTTTTTAAAACTCATGATTCAGTTACAGGGAGTGACCTGTTTTTAGAATACTGAATAGTGTTGCCATAAAACAGTTTTTAAATGAATTATGTTGAATTTCACTGCAGTAGTCGTTTTGTGTTTGTACCTGGTCCAGAGGATCCTGGATTTGGTTCCATCTTACCAAGGTAACTTTCACTCAGAATTTTGCAAAAGTCAAGACTATTCTGTGAAATCTGAAAGTACATATCATAGCACATAAATTGTTTTTACAGGCCACCACTTGCTGAAAGCATCACTAATGAATTCAGACAAAGGGTCCCGTACTCAGTCTTTACTACTAACCCTTGCAGGTAAATAGTTGTATTTTGTATTATACTTTCTTCCTTTCACTTAAATATTCATTTCACTTTTCAAACTGTTTCTGCATTTTGACAATTAAAAATTGTCTTATTTTAAATTTCTCAAAACTTTGAAAATATTTTAACTGTGTTTAAAAATTTACTGCAGTAAGCTTACAAGCTTAAATAATGCACAGGAGGGACTGGGGATTTAGCTCAACAGCATAAGCGCCTGCCTTGCAAGCAGGCAGTCGTAGTTCGATCCCCGGTACCGATAAAAATGAAAAAGACAAAAAAAAAAAAAAAAAAAAAAAAAACAAATGCACAGGGATTCATCAATAGAGAAGTATCACCTCTGAATTGGCAACTGCCATATTCAGCCCTATAGCCCACACCTTTCCCACAGACACCAGACACCCAGATCTGGTCGCCTAAGCATCAGCTCCTCTGAATGCCCAGTTGACAGCTTCAAGAGTTCAAGTTCTTGTTTGTTTATTGCCTTCATACAAGCCTTGCTGATCCTGAGCCCGGCAGGCACATTCCAGTCTTTGGGCCTCCCTTGCCTGTTTCCTCTGCCCCCAGAGTTTTTCTGAGTGTTTCGACCCCTTATCCCTTTCTAAGCCTGTGGCCCAGCCACACCTGTGCTCCTCCAATCATTGTGTTTGATACACCAGCCTTTTAGACTATCATAGTTATGCGTTGCTGAGGCAAAATACCTGAGACCCTAAATTAAGGGAGGAAAAGTTTATTTGGCTCACAATTTGTAGAAGTTTCAGTCCCTAATGGGGTGGCTAGAAGGTAGGGTGGCCCGGTAGCAGGGCATCGCAGAGGAGAAACGGTTCATGGCAGGCAGACTGCAAAAAAGCAATAATGACCTTAACAGCATCTTTCTGCACCTTTTATACTCTTATCTAGGCTATTGGGGTTAGGATGGTGCAAACCAATCAGTTGACCAATTTAGTAACCTGGCATTGCAGTGTGAAGCAGTCACACTCTAGATTCAACCACTTCTGAAGAAGCTCTGTGTATGACTGCCTAAGGCTTTGGGGGGACATCTAGACACAAACCATAACATAGATCCTGCTTTCAACAACCTTTTTCTCTTTCCTTTACACTTAGTCATCTTCTGCCATAGCATATAATTAGCATGTTTGTTGTTTATTTTCTGTATCCCTTTGGAATAGTTCTCTGCACTTATTAACAGCTCAGTAAATAATTGGATAAATAGACTGGTTAGGGGCTGGGGATTTAACTCAGTGGCATAAGCACCTGCCTTGCAAGCAGGCAGTTGTGAGTTCGATCCCTGGTACTAATAAAAAAAAAAAAATAGACTGGTTTAATTTTTGGTGTGGTGAATGGTGTAGTTGCAGATGGCTTTGTATTATAAGATATTTGCCTTTAAAATTATCTGGTTTGTTTCTACTTTTCACGGTGCTGGGACAGAATGCAAGACCTTGCACAAGCTGGGCAATGCTGTACTGCTGAGCTAAACCCCAGCCACCCTGCTGCTTTTCTTTTATTCTGTGTTTTTTGGGAGGAAGTCAAGTCAATTTCCATTTTCATTTCAGAATTCAGTATTGTACACAAGAAATTATTGTCTTTCGTGAAGATTTAGTGAATAAAATGTGCAGAAACTGTGTCCATTTTCCTAGTAGCAATTTGGATATTCCTAATCATGTAAGTAAAGTCTTTGTTAAACATTTTTTTTCTTGCGGATTTTGCACTGTGTCTCAGACTGTTTTGAACTCACACACAGCTCAAACTCAGTGATCCTCCTGCCTCAGACTCCTGAGTGCTGGGATTTCACACATGAGCCACCACCATACCTGGCTGTTAAAGTGCCTTACATGATCTATTATACACAATTTTGCTTTTGGTTTGTTTATTGTTGATCTTTTTTGGTACTGGGAATCTTTTTTTTTTTTTTTTTTTTTTTTTTTTTTAGACAGAGTCTCACTATGTAGCCCAGGCTGGCCTCCAACTCACAACAATCCTCCTGCCTCAGCTCTTGACTGCTGGGATTACAGTCATGTGCTGTAATAGTTTTTATACACAATTTGTTAACTCAGTAATATGATATTTACTTGTCATCAGAATAATTGGTTATAGTGAGGCATGGTGGCACACATCTGTAATCCCAACACTAGGGAGGCTGAGGCAAGAGGATCATGCTGAGTTCAAGGTCATCCTGCATTACATACCAAGATCCTGTCTTCAAAGAATTGGTTATATTTTTATTAGTAAATGAATTTTTGTTAGTAAGTCAAGGTTTCTTAGGTATCTACTGAAGAATTCCTTTTGGGCAGAACAAAAAGCCCTATACAAATGAAATTTTAAAAAATCTCTTAATTTTGCCCTTTTTGTGGGGAGGGGTATCAGCTTTTGACCTCACACTTACCAGGCAGGCACTGTGCCACTGTGCCAAATCCCCAGCCCTTTAATTTTGCCTTTAAATCTCTTCAATTGTACTTCAAAGTATATGCAACTTTATTTAATAAAATGTTCCTATTTATCATGTATACTATGTGTTTGCTGTGGGATTTACACATCAGGAGACTGCAGTGTTTATCTTGTGGTTTCAAGGGTCCTTGACACAACTGCAATCCCTGGTTACTTGTATCTCCATTAGACAGGTGGGAAGTAGGGCCTATGGAACACAATTGTTATTCATTCTATAATATTTTAAATTTATGTATGCTAAATAATGATTCTTGGCTTTACTCAGCTATGAAACTAGTTTCTGATGAACCAAGTTAGTAAATGAGTTTATTGTCAGATGGGTGTGATACACTGCCGTCTCAGCACCCCCAAGGGCCAAGGCCAGAGGATTCAGATCAGAGCCCAGCCCTGGCAACTTAGTGAGCTTTTGACTCACAATGAAAATGGGCTGGGATATAGCTTGAGAAATTCTTGGGTTTAATACTCAATACCACACACACACAAATTTATTAGATACCTGTAAATATAGTCACTCCAATATGATTATTTAGAAGTCACTGTTATATTGTATTAAATGAAAAGTCACAATTTATTTTTTCCTAAAGCACAGGACAATTAATTTCACTTTGTATCACTATTTTCCAAAGCTGTATGCTTCAAAACTTTGTTTTCTCAAACTTTTTCGATCTCTTTGGTAATTAAGATTAAAAAAACATGTTTTTCCCCTAAAATCCTTTAATATATAGTCCATATGGTAATTAATATTTACTTTGAAATTGTATGGCTGGTCTCACTTTCCCATATGAACTGCAGTTGGCTTTGTTTGAGTTCTTTCATAGTTCGCAAAGACGGTCATTTCACAAGGTCACCTGACTCCCCTGCCTCTCTACGTGTGCCCGGTGTACTGGGCATATGACTACACTTTGAGAGTGTACCCTGTGCCGGATCTGCTCGTGATTGCCGACAAATACGATCCTTTCACCGTGACCAACACCGACTGCCTCTGCATAAACCCTGTAAGAATGCAGTGAACCTTCTATAGTCACTGTGGATCACAAGTGTACAGCACATTTAAATTTTAAATATATTTGATAGGTGTTCAAGTACAAATGTACTAGTAACAAAATATTGAATTTACTATATATAGAAGGCTCTTACACATAAAGTTTAAGAATAGGATATGACTATAACATCATGTGAAGGTGGTTTGTTTTTTTAATAAGCATGCCAAAACATATAAATTCAAATGAGTGTATCTTTCCTGTCACGTAATCACTATGATATTCTTTTCTGGGAATTGCTTTCAGAGCTTGTATCTCATTCCCTTAACCTGGTTTAAGGTTAATTTTTCTTATCCTTTGAGAAGATTGTGATTTTTTTTTTTTTTAAATCGGTACTGGGGATCGAACTCATGACTGCCTGCTTTCAAGGCAGGTTCTTATGCCGCTGAGCTAAATCCTAAGCCCCAAGGATTGTGATTTTTGGAAAGTCTCAAATCTCAAAAACTCAAATGCAGTTGGATGTGGTAGTGCACGTCTGTAATCCTAGCATTCAGGAGGCTGAGGCAGGAGGATTGTTGAGAGTTCAAGACCAGCCTGGGCTATGAAGTGAGCTCAAAGCCAGCCTAAATTGCATAGGGAGACCCTGTCTCAAAAAGACAAAGCAAAAAGAAAAAAAAAACTCCAAGGCCAATGAATGAAATTTCATTAGGACACATTTTATTAATTTTTATGTAGAACCTAGAAAGTACTTTAGAATGTTGAAACTGCTTCAGAATTTTTAGATTACTGACTTCTTGAACTTACAGAATAATACAATGACACAAACAGTTGGTTATGTGAAAAAAATTATCTTTAATCTGCATTTTTCCTAGATTCCTGTGAATCAGACTTTTCTTCATCTGAGTCATCTAGAAAAGCCATGCCTTGCTCCTGATAACATCTGTCACACTCATTTTTCTGGCTTACTTTAACCATAGCACTTTTGACCTTTTGGAGCAAATAATGCATTGTCATGGGGGCTGTTCTGTCCATCACAAGCTGTGAGGCAACTTCCCTGGCTTCTGCCTGCAAGATGCCATAGTGTCCCCCAGTTGTGACAGTGAGGCCATACCCTTCACCAGTGAGACCAGTTTCCTTATTTCTTTCGGCATTCTCATCGTTAATGCTCTATTTGGCTACATCTTATTTCTGGACTTTTTTACTTTTTAATCCTATGAGTAAACAACCACCTCCTATACCCTCATTGCAACTTTTGTACCTTTTGGGCAAACACAAAACTTGCTCTTGGTACCACTTTGTTCCTTCTGGGCACTCCTGTAAATGAGTGCCTGCTGTGGGCCAGACACTGAGGCAGGGGCTGGGGCACAGGCTGGAGAGACAGACGCCCTGCTTGGTGAGCAGAGAGGTCCACAGACAGGAAGTTACTCTGTGCAGTTGTTCTGTGGATGCATTGGGGGGCATTAAGCCCATCTTCTTTGGGTGAAGAGGCAGGGAGGACTCAAACGTGATGGTCTGAGTATCTCAGATGCAAGGTTAGCATTATATGATACTTTTTCTTTCTTATGGTACGAACAGCCACTTTGAAGAATTTTTTAATCAAATCTGTTTGCATAAAACTGTTTAGCCAACTTGAAGAACTTCTGCTTTAACTGCAGGTATTTTATAGTAACAACCTTCTCTCTATAACGATCATTTAAAAACCTGTCACATTATTTTATAGCTATATCTTACAGACTTTTATGGCATTTGATTTAAATGATAAGTGCTGGGGATTTAGCTCAGCAGCATTGGTGCCTGCCTGGCAAGTATGAGGTCATGAGTTCAGTCCCTGGCGCCTAAAAAGTAAAGAAATGAGGCTATTAATTTAAAAGATAGAGATTTATTTATTTATTTTTGTCTTTTTCTTTTTTATCGGTACCGGGGATCAAACCTACAGCCACACACTTGCAAGGCAGGTGTTTATGCCACTGAGCTAAATCCCCAGCCCCAGATAGAGGTTATTTTATAAAAGTTGAGAAATCATTTAACAGGCATTTTTTTTTTCCCTAAAGGGCTCTTTTCCAAGAAGTGGATTTTCATTCAAGGTTTTTTACCCTTCCAACAAGACAGTAGAAGATAGGTAAGTGTGCACACAGAAACTAGGGGCTTTCTCTTGCTGTCACTGCTGAACCTCACATGACCTCTAGCTGTGTGCTGAGATTGTTTAAAATGCCTGTCAGGCTGGCTGGGAATGTTCTGGGCTGATCTTCTTGGAAAATACTTGCTGGTGTGTTAGTGTTGAACTTGACCAGGAACTGTTTTTGTGGAGTGAAATCTCAGGCCAGCCGTGGAGTGGGGCTGGCTTCTTGCAGGCCGACTTGCAAGGATGCACTTACTCTTCCACAGCTCAGCCCGGCCGTCCACAGGGTTCATTCTAAAGGCTGGGTGCTGGCCTCAAACCAGCAGCGAAGGAGTCTCAGGGAGCTGGGCGTGAGTGTAGAGAAAGAGAGGAGCTGAGTGGAAAGGAGATCCTGGTAAGAAAATGCAGAGTCACCTGGTGAAAGTGGTTTTCACAAGGTGATCTGCAGATCACTGCATCAAAATACGCTGAGGGTAAAAACGTGAAATTCCAGGCTCCTACCCCAGACTCATCAGATGGCTGCTCGTAGAATCCAGGAACATGCAGTTCTTCTTTCTTTTTTCTTCTTTTTAAAATTTTTTTAGGTTTTTTGAGATAGAGATTTTCTCTGATTCAGGCTGGCCTTTAACTCACTATGTAGCCCCAGCTGATGTTGAGCTCGCAACAGTCTTGCCTCAGCCTCCCAAGTGCTAGGAATTTTTTTTTAAAATGAGCACACCAAAACATAGAAAACAAATATATAATACAAATTTTAAACAATGTTTAAAAGTATAAAATTAAACTAAGTGTCATGGCAAACTCCTGTAACCCCAAAACTCTGGAGGCTGAGGCAGGATTGCCTGGCTGAGCTACACAGTGGGTTTAAGGCCAGAACACATAGCAAGAAACAGTTGTCTCTTGGGGCTGGGGATTTAGCTCAGCGGCATAAGCGCCTGCCTCGAAAGCAGGCAGTTGTGAGTTCGATCCCCGGTACCGATAAAAAGGAAAAAGACAAAAAAAAAAAAAAAAAAAAAAGAAACAGTTGTCTCAAAAAAATTTAAAAAGGAAAAATACCTTTGCTTCTTAATCTCTTATGTAGGCATGCATTGCTTAACAGTGGGGACACCTTTGTATAGGGATTTGACTCTATCTCTCAGGTACTGTCTAATTCTTAGACAGTAAACACACATTCTTATAAAGATAACAGGTATTGGGGCTGGGGATTTAGCTCAGCGGCATAAGCCCCTGCCTTGCAAGCAGGTGGTCGTGAGTTCAATGCCTGGTACCGATAAAAAGAAAAAAAAAAGATAACAGGTATTTGTGGTGGCACAGGCCTGTAATTCCAGAACTCTAGGAGGCTCAGGCAGGAGGACTGAAAATTGCAGCCCAGCCTAGGGAACTTAGTGACACCCTGTCTCAAAATAAAAATACAAAGGGCTTAGGATGTAGCATAGTAAGAAGGCCCTAGGTTCAGTCCCTAGTACTAAAAAACAAAAGTTGCAGATACTACAGCTTCTAATTTAAGTCTGAACAGTTTTAACTATACCCAGCCCACATGATACCCTTAAAAACACAGTGAAGACACAGGCTCCCAGCTCTGTCTGCTCTTGGTTGCTCTTCCACACTGGCTATGAGAGCCCGGGATTTGGTCCCGGTGGCCTGGACTATACCAACCGACTGACTGATTGACTGATGTTTGATGTAAAACTTACACAGATTTAAAATCTAACCTGCTATGCAAACTTTACTGGGAACTTTCCCCACTTAGGACAAGAGAAATTGGTCTGAAGTACTATTACATTTTTCTTAGGAAGACTAAATCTAGGCTTTCCTTTGCTTTAGTTACTAAAGAGCACAGCATTCTCTATAGCTGCAGAGAATTTACTAGCTAAACCTTCAATTTTTGTGACCTATATGTTCTTTTTACTTGAATTTTCTTTTACCTTTTTGTTACATCTACCTCTGCAAAGCATTTTATATTCTTTTATCTTTTTTTTTTTTTTTATTTAAGGAGAAAAGAAAAAAAAAGCAGGGAAAGGGTACAAGTTATACAGATTTACAGAAAAAAATGAACAGTAGGAAATCACTAGTTAATGGATTACATATTGTCATCTTAGAAATAATTGTTCAAGTCACAAAATTAAAGCTTGTAAAGTGGACATTCCATCAATGATACTGCAAACAGTTCTGTTCATTAATCCAATAAAACTCTGTGATATCATTTTCTATCTTATACACTTAAATATACATGCAGTTATATAGTTTGGAGCACTTTCTTTTCCTCTCTTTTGTACCATGACTATTACACATTTTGGGTTTCATTGCTCCCACGGTTCTTATTACTTTTTTGGAAGAGAGTAAAACCAAATGTGACATAACAGAACAGAATCGGTCAAGTCAAAAGGGTGGACATTATAGATAATGTAAAAACATAATACAAGGTGATCAACAATGGTTACCATAATGCCTCCCGCTATCTCTAATAGAATTGCCTATATCATTAGTTATAATACAATTGAACAAAACAGTAAAGAATAAAACCGACAAAACCAAAACATTGGAGACATTGTAGGTCTTCAAAAGTAGATAAAAGTCAACAAGAATGGGCGTCATAATGAATCTCATTATCTTCACAGCTGATGCCTAAACTTTCGAACCTGATACTATCCAGCAAAACAGAATAGGGGAACATCAGTTAAAAACCAGATGGTGAGAGTAATACAGGGCTTTAAATCAAGGTAATGAAAAGTCAAAGTGGGTTACTATAATATATCCTGCTATTTTTTTTCTTTAATTAAAAGGATAAAGATAAAAAAGTAAATAATGGAGTGGAGATTGAGATAAAAGAGGGCATAACAACGAAACAGCGCAGATCAAAACATAACCATTTAAGCAGAATAGTGTTTCACCACCAGATAATCCTAACCTAAAAGTAGTTACCATATTTTCTTTCTTTGAAATCCTTGAGTACAACTTCGTATACTGTAGCATTAAGTATATCAAAACAATGTAAAACCATTCAAGAGAATGACAGCATTACAGAGTATTTAGAATCGACTAACAGAAAATGAACAATGGTTTCTGTATAATCTCCTTGTCTTTAAAAGGTTTTTGCTTATACTATCGTACATAATAAAATCCAATAAGATACAGCCTATTTAGACCATTGGAGACAGAAGGACAAAAGCTAGATGAGACTTCAAAACAAGAGGATACTAAATCAGTATTACCTATTAAGATGTCATTTTCTCCAAAATAGCTGTTCCTATTATCCAATCTTCTCTGCCTCATTTCTGTTAAGCTCTTTTTCTGTCAGTAGCTGTCAGTTTGTCTTCTTCATTTTGTTCTCTGCTCCATTCGCTGTGGCCTCTCTGCCATTATTTCTGGATTCTTTGTATTTTTCTTTTTTTAGAATATCCTGCAATACTCTCTGTAGAGTTGAATTGGTGGTTGCAAATTCCCCCAGTTCCTCTTTATCCTGGAAGCACCTTGTTTTTCCATCAATTTCCAGGGACAGTTGTGCAGGATATCTCAATCTTGGCTGGAGATTATTATCTTTCAATGCTTGAATTATTTCCCCCCACGCTCTTCGTGATTTGATGGTTTGTGCAGAGAAATCTGCTGTAATTCTGATGGGTGTTCCCTTGTAAGTGGTCTGTTTCTTGTCTCTTACAGCTTTTAATATTCTGTTCTTGTATTGAATTTCTGGAATTTTTATTATTATATGCCTGGGTGTTGCTCTGTTTGGGTTGTAGGTAGCTGGGTTCCTGTATGCCTCATACATCTGAGTATCTTTACCTTTTGCTAAATTAGGAAAATTCTCCTGGATTATTTCTGTGAGTAGCTTTTGTAGTTCACTTGTTTGTGTCCCTACTTCTTCTTTTATGTTCTTAATCCTTAAGTTATGGATCCTCTTATCATCTTCTTGTCTTTGTATTATTGCTGTTTGTTTCTTTGTTATTTTTAAGAAGTTTTTCATTTCATTCTCCCATATTACAAGTCTGCCCTCCAGTTCAGATAGTCTGTCCTTAGTTTCTTTCAAGCTGTTATGCCAGTCTTCTATAGACTTCTTAGTATCTTGGTAGTCCCTTTGAACCTGCTTCACGTATTCTATGCTTTCTCTGTTTTCTCCATCCAACAATTCTCCCCTTTTTTTCTGTTCTTCCATTCCACCACCTGTTTTTTCTTGGGTGGTACTTAGCATTTCTCTAACTATTCTGCATACTTCTAGCTTCAGGTCGTTGATAACTTCATTCCTGAATTGGTCTATGAGGCTCTCTATATGGTGCCTTATGTGTATTGGTGCGGTGTCTGCTATTGCCTGTTTCTCAGAATTGGGGGCCGAGGAGCCTTTCTTGTTGCTGCCTCTTCCCATTCTGCCTCTTCTTCTCTGTTCCTTATATATGCAAGCTTATATAAGAGGCCCAGCTTCTCTCCCAGTCAGCCACAGCCTGATCGAATTGCGCCAGTTAGGTGTTCCCGCTCACCGCTGTGCACCAGGGAGTTACGGACCAGGCAGCCTACGCGTCTCCCCTCCCGGCCACCATCAGGCTCTGGGATCTGGGTTGGGACAGCCTACCAGGTCCGCCGGCAGCGTCACGCAGGCCAGGCACTTTTCACCAATCCTGCCCGAGAGAGGGATGTGTGGCAGGAGTCGCCACCGCACCCTGCTCCCGCAGGACTGCTCGGGCCCAGAAAGTCCTCTGCTGGAGTCAAACTGTGGTAGAGTGTCAGTTTCTCTCACTCACCTCACCACAAGTCAGTGCACGCCTCCCTGCCGTTCGTAGATTGCCGTTCTCAGAGCTTCTGCGCGTCTCTCTCCTTGCCGAGCCGCTGTAGAGGCAGCCAGCCGCCGCGCGGCGGGAAACCCAAATCGCGGCTTCCAATGGCGCGGGGTCCAGCCTCCACACCGAGTCTTTTCTGTTCCTGTTTTAGCACCAGGACTGCATTCCAAGTTGGCTTCTCTCAGCCCAGTTCGTTCCTGAGTCAGCAGAGCATATCTCCACCTGCTTATGTCTCCTTAGTCCGCACCATTCCTGGCTTCTGAGCCGAGTCTTTCAGAGAGCCTCCGGTAGTTGCTGTTATCTGTCCGCCATGTTCTTCCGGAAGTCTATTCTTTTATCTAAAATGAGTTCGGAAGCCATATGTGGTGGTACACACCTGTAAAACCTGAGGCTGAGGCAGGATATTGGCTGTGAGTTTGAGGCTAGCCTGGGCTCCATAGTGGGTTCAAGGTCAGCCTGTACTACATAGTGAGACCCTGTCTTGAAAAATAAGCAAACAAACTGCGTTGGGAAATAAACCACAATTGGAAATTAGCTGATTTTTTTGGTTTTTTGGTGGTGATGGTATGTCCTATAGATTGGAACCCTGGGCCTTGTTACTGAGCTAAAGCCCCAGTCCTTTTTAAAATAAGGGTCTCACCAAGTCACTAAAATGCCCACTCTGGGCTTGTACTTGTAATCCTTGTGCCTCAGCCTCCAAGAGTGCTGGAAGAGACATGTACCACATGCCAGGATTACGTTTCTTGTAACAGCCATGCAGAATCATTTTTGTATTCTAGGTGCTTTAGGCAGATTTCTACTACAGTTCTTAAGTGTTGGTTCCTCCTAAGTTTCTACCATAAGACTTGCCACAGTAGGTGATAAAACTGTTTATTGAACTCTTGTCTCAATTACTTTTCTCACTTGTTGGGACAAAACATCCAACACCCAAAATGAAGGAAGGAAAGGTTTATTTCGCTTACAGTTTCTGGAGGCTTCAGTCCATAATCAGCTAGTTCCAAGGTAGGGTGGCATGGCTCTGGAGCAACACTAAGACTGCAGCCAGAGCAAAACCAGCCAAAGAAAAAAGGAGAAAATAAACCTCTTCTCTTAGCTAATATTGTACACAGGAAGACACCCGCTCTTCCAGGGTGGGTGTAGAACTCACAAAATCTCCTTGCCCTCCTTTGCACAGGATGAGGATATTTACAAAGAACAAACCCTGGCTCCCTGCTGAGTCTCTCAGTGAAACTTCTAAACTGCTCAAGTTGACACAATGTATTGACCATAACCAACTCAAAGAGTTAGTTCCTTTATCTTCTATGGCCTCAGATGCTGAAAAGCCTAGACATAATCTCAAAACTAAAACTGAGTATTATTAGTAATTTGAGGAAGCTTTTTAGTGCTGGATCAAACATATTGATGGTATACATATATGGAGAACAGAAAAAATTTCAAGATACATTGGGGCCCACAATATAGCAGTGGTGCCTACCTGACAAATGCAAAATCAGTGGTTCAATTCCTAGTACCAAAAAAAGATTTGTTGAAATAATCAGGTCTTTCTGCTACTTAATTTGTCCTGAGAAGCCATTTGTTGGCTAGTTGCCAAACCACAATGGTGTTAACAACAGAATATAGTCAAGAAAGGCACCATAAGCCATGTCAAATATACTTTCTTTTTTATACGACTGCTTTTTTTTCTATATGATATAAAAAAATGGGATATAGCATATACTAATAGTTTTATTTGAAAACATGCTATTGGTGATGTAGGGAGATACAAATTTTCACACACAGTTGGAGAGAATGAAAAATGGGTTGAAAACCTTTACAGAGAGCACTTTTAAGATCTAAAATGTATATACTAATGATTCCATTTCTAAGAATTTATCCTGAAGGTATACTGGGGCTTATGCAGAAAAGTAGGCATGGTTGTTATTGCAGCTTTTGTACCACAAGTAAGAAATAGCTTAAATGTACGTATATCTAAATGTATGTAGAAAATTTAAAGTTTTCTAATTTGTCCAAATTTCAAAGCCATAAAGGAAGGACTTAAATTATAAAGTATGAACAAAATGAAAAAGGAATAGTAAGTATCGTGTTCTACCACTTATGTACATTTGTGAAGTTAATCATAGATATGTGCTTACATGATCCGAGTATCTTTATAAAGATTTCCTGCTTTGGGGAAGCAGAACTGGGGTACAAGACATTTTTAGTGTTGCGTTTTAAATTTGAAACAGTGTACATATATTGACCTATTTGTAGAATTAGCTTATACTAAATATAAATGTACAATTTAGGTTTCCAAAATAAATTTTGTTTTTTCTATTTTCAGCAAACTTCAAGGCTTTTGATTCTTCAAGGCCATCTGAAGAAAAAAATTGATGTTTTCTACTTTATTTTATATCTTTATATAACTCTGATATTGTTATAATAAAATTATAGTAACTTCAGTGTTAAATTTTTTTCATGAAATTTGGTATGAAATTGTTAACGAATATTACAGTATTCTTCATAAAGTTCTCTAGGAAAAATATTCTCGATGGCCTTTAAAAACAGGCAGCAAGGTGTAAAGATATACTGTATACATTTGCTTTAATCAGCAAGGTTTATTTTTATACTAGTCATACTCTGATGTTCATTTTAAGAAAAACATAAGTATTTAGAAGTCTGCGGCTGTTTAGTCCAACTTAGGTTATTACTATCATAAGACCCCTAAGATTACATTGGGTAGTGTCCAAAGTGTGTAAGTCACAGGATTTAGCAATTGTGAAAATCTTTTATTTCAGGCTACATACATCATACTGCAGGCTTCATAATTATGACACTGGAAACTTGAAATCATGATTTTTACACTTGGAAGACCCGATAACTTTTTTTTGTATTGGTGTTTACACTTCTGGGATCAATCCAAGGGCCTCAATGTTAGGTGAGTGCTACGCACTTAACCCCAGCCCTGTATTTATTTTGAATCAGCATTTGTCTTAGTCTGTCTGGCTGCTACAACAGAATGCCAGAGATTGGGTAATTTATAATGAAGAGAAATGGATTGGTTCCACGGGTCGGAAGTCCAAGGTGGACTTGCATCAGAAACCAAAGGAGGCCATACCTATCGAACCCATCCACTCCACCCTTGTGTCCTGGTCACCTATCACTAGGCCCCACAATACTGTTGTAGTGGGGATTAAGTTTCCATGTTCAACCCAGAGGAGCATGCTGGGCTATTTCGTGCCAACTCGTTTCCCTCCCCTTAATTTTAGTTTAAGGAGCTGGTTAAACTGCTGTTGGGAAAGGAATCTGAGTGAATGACAGGAAGTTGTTAACAGTACAGTCACAAATTATAAGCCTGAACTGGAAGATATTTCTTTCAGAGAATTAACTAGCATTGGAGGCGGGGGGGGGGCGCAGAGGAACTAATAAAAGTGATGGTGAAGGGAAAATTCCTGAAGGAAACTTAATATGCACAAAGTGGCAGTTTGAGATGTGGTTTGAGAATGGAAAATTTGAGAATGTTAGAATTACCCTGATGTTAAAACAGGACTTAGAGAAATGTAGCAAAACCCGTGGGCCTTTTATTCAGAACGCCCAGCACCAATACTCACCCACAAGCCTGGCCCTACGTGTAATGTCACATACAGTTTCAGAAGACTCAGGAATCGAAGGTCATCATTTCCAAACAGCCACTAGTGATTTGCTGTCACTAGGTAGTATGGTACACACATGTTGGGGATTTTTGCGGGGGAATGGTACTGAGAATTAAACCCAGAACCTTTACATTCATCTGCCTCTCCAGCCTTTTTAAATTTGGAGATGAGGAGATGAGGTATATCACCCAGCCTGGGTTCAGACTTGGATCCCCTGGTTCAGCCTCTCAGAATGCTGGGATTACAGATTTGTGCTACTATACAGGGGACCGAAAACCTGTTTTTTTAAGGTAAGACTTACCTAAAATCTTGTAGCTACAAAGGTGACTTGGAATAAATTGATTACTAATGGGGTTATGTTCTCTGACTTTAAAGTTCTAATAGAAAGGAGTGTGATTTTATACGCACATGTTTTAAAGACCTGCCAGAACTTAGTTTTATGCCTTGAAACTACTGCAGATAAAAAGTTTTTTTTTTTTTAAATTTTAAAGAGAACACACACACACACACACACACACAAGAAAAACAACAAATAAAACAGGGTAAGGGGTTTAGCTTGGCATCACAAGCACCTGCCTGGCAAGCAGTCTGATCCCCAGTAACCCCCTCAAAAAAAAATTGCAAAAGAGACAACAGCAGATATAAAAGCTTTAAGACTTAAATGGCAAAACATTTAAAGACTTTATTGAGGGCCAAGGATGTAGCTCAGCACTGCAGCGCCTGCCTGGTGCCTGCCTGGCAAGCACAAAAGCCCCAGAGTTCAATCCCTAGTCCCCCAAAACAAAACACCTTTACTGAACAAATTCATGGTCAAAACATTAGAAAGTACAATTAAGCACAAAAGTGTTAATGACCTGTAATTCCACCATTAAAAGTCACTGTTAAATTGTGGGATATTTTTTCTCAGTTCTTTCCTTGGACACACTGTTCTATTGCAATGCTACAAGAAAACACATCTGAACTGCCTGTTCTCTTTACTGTGCTGTACTCCCTCATGAGATGAATAAATACATCCTAGGTCCTGGGGAGTCACAAAAGCAAAGCCTTACATTTCACAATACTTACCTTCAGACAGTCCTACCCTAAAACAAAAAAAATCGAGTATGGTGAAAATAAAAGCTGGGCAGTGTGACATGGGGTGTTGGAGTTAGGAGCAGTGTGCCATGAAGAGTCAGTCACTAAGGTGGTATTTTAAGTTCTAGAGATTCAAGGGACTGGGCAGTACAGGAATCTAATCTGCCCAGAGGTCGAGTACAGACAAAATACAGTTATGCTGCTACTGGAAGTGATATAGTGATTTTTCAGTATCGCTGAGGAGCCAACTGTAAAAAGATTGTAAGAAAGGGAGAGCTGGGCTGGGGGTGTAACTCCATGGTAGAGCCTTTATCTACCTTGTGTGGCTCTGGGTTCCGTCCCCAGCACTGGGGGATCCAAAAGGAAGCGCTGAAGATGAGACCAGTCAAGAAGCCATTGCAGATGTTTACAACCCCAATGGTGATGGCTTGGACCAAAAATGGAAAGATGTACCTGGGGGCACAGTAAGCTGGCAGGATTTGGTAACTGGGATTACTGGATGAGTAGAGAGGCATCCACGATCACATCTGGGGTTTAGGCTACAGTACCCGGTAGGTAGTATTTATTGAGACTGAGGAATGAGATGATTAAAAAAACAAACAGTATATATGTTTTTGAACATACTGAAATGCCTGTCAGATATCTAAGTGGAGAAACCTAGCAGGCAGTAGTGTTTCTTAGGGCACAGTGCTTAGGAGATACAATTTTGGAGTCACTAATCCCACCCTACATGTACCTGGGAGTGTCTTACAGTATAAGATATAGGAAGTCCTTTGTTCAGTGCACAACTCAATCACTTCACAAACTGCACACCCCACAGTAAGCCAGGATTAAGTAGCAGCCTCCAGCAGAAGCTCGCTGCTGTTTTCCTTCCATCACAAGATTCCAACCCCACCCACGGCAATCACTAGTCTCACATTTTTCTTAGATTTTTAAAGAACTTTTAAAAGATTTTTACTATTTGACTGACAGTCAGTTGTATAGCCCAACTTCTAACAGTAACTAAGTTTTGTCATAATGGAGTCATGTATTATTTTGCATGTGGCTTCTTTACATTATACTTGTGAAATTCAACCATACTGTTGGCTGCACACAAGTCTACTATATGGGGCATACACATGTCCATCTGATGATGAACAATGTTTCAAACACACAACCTGGCACATACCTTGTGCTGATGTATTTGTTAAACTCTCAAAATTTCATACTCAACTATGTATTATGTTCCATTGCATTTTTTTTCTTTTTGAGACAGGGTTTCCCTATGCAGTTCAGGCTGGACTTGAACTCACTTTGTAGCCCTGACTGGCCTTAAACTTGCAGTGATCCTCCTGCCTCAGCCTTCCAAGTGCTGGAATTACAGGGCTGTGCCACTACATCCGCTCAACTGCAATTTACCAAAGAGCTTGTTCCAATATATTGTTCTAGCACATGAGCGTGCAGGTTTGCTTCACATCCTTGGACCATGATTTTGTTTTGTTCTGGTATCTACAACAAAATATGTGTAACATGTTTGGATTAATCTCTACATGCTATGCACTTAGATAAAATAAAAAATATTAGGAGAGCAAGAAGTCAACAAGAAGCTAAAACTTCCCATGAACTGGTGTCATGTGCAGGCTGACTGGGGTAGAGCTAGATGCCAGCCCCTTCAGGCGCATGGGCAAAGACAAGAGCAGCCAACTTAACACTCCCCCCAGCAACCAGCTGACCCGGAGGAACACAGGCTGTGATGACAGATGAGGTAAAATACAACTTAATGCTTGTAGTATTTAGTATTTCACTGACTTTATAGGCCTAAGGCTAGCAGTTTGATCATCTATTCAGAGAATAACTACGCAATATAGCATCCATGTGGGATCTCCTTCTGAAGGTGGTGGCCACTGTTAATTCCCTATTGTCTTGTTTTGAAATCTTGTATCATTCTCAATGTTTTGTTTGTTTGGGTTTCATTGTGTTTCTATCTTGTTGGATTTTGTTATATTTGATGGTCTGGGCAGCTATTTGGAAGATAACAAGATACATTATGTTAGCCATTTTAGATTTACTATTTTGTTTTGCAGTTCTGTATTTCATTCATTGTTTTGTTTTACTGGTTTATTCTGGGGGTTTTTTTTTTTTTTTTTTTGGTCTTTTTTTCCTTTTTATCGGTACCAGGGATCGAACTCATGACTGTCTGCTTGCAAGGCAGGCACTTATGCCGCTGAGCTAAATCCCCAGCCCCTGGTTCTATTCTGTTTCTGTTTTATTTTTACAATGTCTGAAGGTATGGTCAGCTATTTTGAAGACAAGAGGCACTATGGTAACCATTGTTGAAATCCTGTGTCACTCCTTGTCGAGTTTTGATTGGCTTTATTCGGTTTTATTTTGTTCTTTCTAAAATAAAATTTTAAGAAATAAAATATATTATTATTATCTAAAATATTAGATTGAGTGACTCCCTCATTTAAAAAACAGAAGAGGATCAAGAAACAAGGAAAACTTGGCGACATTAAGAGTTCTGTAAACCAATGGGGCAATCAGTTCTAGGAGACCACTGCTTCAGTTTGGTAAAGGAAAAGAGTCAGGAATTCTATTTTTGGTCATTTCAAGCCTGAGAGGAAAAAGAAAAAGACCCAGAGGCTAGGGTCAGGTGTGGGTGGTGCATACCTGTAAATGCAGCACTCAAGAGACTGAGACAGGAAGATCACCAGGAGTTTGAGGCCAGATTCAGCACCACAGTGAGTTCAATGAGACCTTGTCTCAAAAACACCAAAACAAACACACAAACAAAAAAGTCACAGAGGCTTAAGCATTAATGGGAACTTCAAATGGGCAGCCGCATATAGAAACCCAGAGTTTGGATCCTGAAATCCAAGTTTGATACTGTGGGTGTGCATTTGAGAAGGACAGCACAGATGGTGAAGACATGGAACTGGGGCCTTGGAGTATTTCTACTAGAAACTGAATGGGATGACACCTGCAGAACAAACTATGAAAGTATGATGAGGCAGGAGCAACACCCTGAAAAGGTCTTGTCTTTGAAGTAATGCCACATCATCAATTGAGTTGTGTTGTTGAGAATAGAAAAATGTCACGGAATGGACCAGCTACCAATGAATAACTATCCTAGTAAGTAAATATACTTTGGGCCTGGGGTTTGGCTTAATAATGGAGCACATGCTATAGGAGCGAGACACTGGGTTCCATCCCTGGCACCACACACAAAACCCCGTGACCATAAAATTCTGTCATGTTAATACCAAAATCTGCTCTGTCAGTCTCTTACTGAACTCAATACTCTTCCCAAACTTTTAAAAGCTGTTAGTACTGGGTCAGATATTCTAAGTGTAACTGGATTAAATAATATGCAAATTACAAATTCTATTTCCATCATGAGGACACAATAATGTGAACAAGTCTTTGCCATTTTGATAGGTGCTATGGAGTACCTTATACATACATTTTTATTTTTAACGAAGCTTAAGTTTTATATATTTATTGGCAGGTGGTATTTGCTTATGACTAGCCTGCCCATATAGCCCCAAATGAGTTTTAATTGGGCAAAGTGTATGGCAGAACATCTAAAAAAGGAAAAAGACGAAAATTAAGGTTAAATTGTTGGTTTAGCAAAACGCAAAAAGGCAGAAAAGTTTAGGTTTTTTAATCACCGCTCGTGAATTCACAGGTGACAGGCCCCCCTGGCAACTTCTAAGGTCCCCATGTTGCCTATGAAGTTTATCTTAAAGTGTTATAAACACTTTATGTTCATCTTTCTGTTTATATTAAGGTGTTATGAACAATTAAGGAAACTATGTACAAAACGCTGTAAATTATAACACTTAAATAGAAATCTAAAAAACGCAAGCTCGATGGCTCTTCTGAAGAAATCATGAAGCGGTTTCTAGCATTTTCAGGCAGCAGCAGCCCCTCCTCCTGGTGTGGGTGGCGTTCCTATGGCAACAGTCACGCGCTGCCCAGGGCTCAATCCCTGAGCCGTTACTAACTCTGGTCGGTTTTTCGGCACGAATGGGATATTCCTAACCACACAGGATCCCGGTCATCATCCCTGGGACGGGGTACAAGGGCGAGGAATCGCGGGACAGCATGGCCAAAGCGGAAGATTCCTCGGCGCTGGAGAATCTGGATCTGAGCAGAGAGGAGGTTCAGCGGCTCACCTCTGCTTTCCAAGACCCGGAGTTTCGGCGCATGTTCTCCGAGTACGCGCAGGAGATCACGGACCCGGAGAACCGGAGGCGCTACGAGGCAGAAATCACAGCTTTGGAGCGGGAGCGCGGGGTGGAGGTGCGGTTCGTACACCCTGAGCCCGGCTACGTGTTGCGCACCAGCTTGGATGGGGCTAGCCGCTGCTACGTAAACGTGTGCAGCAACGCGCTTTTGGACGCGCCTAGCAGCCGGCCCGACTCGGGGTCCGGCAGCCACTGGTCTCTACCCTACAGTCTGGCGCCCGGCCGCCAGTACGCGGAACGCGGCGGCTCCCGCTACACAGTCTACGATGTTGTCTTCCATCCTCATGCGCTCGCGCTGGCCGAACGCCACGCGCGCTTCCGTAGAATGCTGGACGCCACGGCCCTGGAGGCTGTGGAGCAGCGATTCCGCGTCCAGCTGGACCGCAGGAACGCCAAGACGCTGAAGATCAAGTACAAGGGGACGCCGGAAGCCCCCGTGCTGCGCACACCATTGCCGGGAGGCGGCGCGGGCCGGCCCGAGGGGGTTCCAGAAGGCCCTCTCCCCGACTTCCCCTACCCCTACCCGCCTCCCGCGGCTGCACAGAGCCCTGCAGGCCCGCGGCCCCTGGCGCCCTCCCCTCCGGAGACGGCGCCGCAGCCTGAGCCCACCAAGCCGCGGTGCAGCGTGGTGCAGCGCCACCACGTGGACCTCCAGGATTACCGCTGCTCCCGGGACTCGGCGCCCAGCCCGGTACCGCACGAGCTGGTGGTCACCATCGAGCTGCCGCTGCTGCGCTCGGCGGAGCAGGCAGCGCTGGAAGTGTCGGGGAAGCTTTTGTGCCTCGACTCGAGGAAACCCGATTACCGGCTGCGGCTCCCGCTCCCGTACCCAGTGGACGACAGCCGTGGCAAGGCGCAGTTTAACAAGGCGCGGCGGCAGCTAGTAGTCACGCTGCCTGTAGCACACTCAGGCGCTCGCCTAGTGCCCAGCTCGGTGCCGGAAGAGCCCGCCGGGCCGCCGGAAGAGCCTGCGGGCGCGCCCGGAAGTGACGTAAGGAACACGACTAGTGGCGCGCCGGGCGAGCTGGTATCTGTGTCTGTGGAGCCGGACGTGGACGTGTTTTTGAGGTCACCTGGCCTGGAGAAGGAGCTGCCTCCTGGAGCTGGGAGCTCGTCTGGGGTCGCAGGTGGAGGTTCCCCTTGTGCTTCGTCCGAGGGCGCCGGTTGGGACTCCCCGGCGGGAAGCGGGGACGCGTGCGGAGATCCCATCCGAGACCCGAAGGGCGCGGGTGGCGAGCGCTCGGACGGAGCCATGGGAGGCCCTGCGGCGGGGAGCAGGGAGCCTTTGTGTCCTCCACTGCAGTGCAGTCAGGACGAAGACTCCCTGATTCTGCTAGTTCAAGTGTCCGGGGTTCAGCCACAAAGCCTTCAAGGCGATCTGAATCCTCTCCGGTACAAATTGAGCTTCTTCGCACAAGACCTAGCTTATTCCTTGCTCTTGCGGTTTGCTCCGGAGAATAAATTGAGTTCTAAAGAACCCGAGATTAGCGTTTCTTCGAACAATGCAGTGATAGTGCTGGCCAAATCTCCAGAGAGCCGTGGACATTGGCGAGAGTGGTACTGTGGTTTAAACAGCAGTTCTTTGGAGGTAATGATTCTTTCTAGAGTCTTGTTTTATTTTGCTTTTTTGAGACAGGGAGTAACTGTGTAGTTCAGACTGGCCTTGGCTTCATTAGATATCCTAGGCGGGCCTCGAATTTACAGCGAGCCTCCTGCCTCAGCCTCCCAAGTGCTGGGACCATAGGCGTGCGTCACTACGTCCAACTTTGTAAAGCCTTAATATTTGAAAGATTCCATCTCAGTTTTAAAATTTGCTATTACAGTCATCCTTTCAGTTTATCCTAACCAAGTCACAAGGAGACCCAGTGGCTTCTTAGAGTTCATAGACTTCTGGGACTGTATACAAAACATTGAATGTTTTCCCTTGGAGAAAAGAGCAGTGTAACTGCTCATGCCTTCAGAGAGATAATAAGTTTAACAAGTGCATCAAAGAAAAGAGAATCAAACATATCATATATGGGTAAATTCCCTATGATAAATAAGGTCTTTGTATTCTACCTAATAAGTGCATAAAGTGGCCAACTCACAAATTTTTTGAGTTGAGAAAGTAATAATTTGTTTCCCAAGGGGAAATGTCTCAGTCTTTGCCACACAGTTCTGATGTGAGAAGTTAAGACTCAAGTGTCATTTTGAATTCCAGTTCATTTCCTCCATATAGTGCAGCTTGATTATAGTTGGTAAGTTTGTTGAAGTTGCCCTCTGGTGGTTGCTGTCTTACACTGGGAATTGAACTATAGTGCTTTTGCACTGAACTACATCCGCAGACACCCTTTCCCTTGAATTTTGAGACAGTCTCCCTCTGGGCTTGAACTTTTATCTTTCTGCCTCAGCTTCCCAGAGTCCTATGAATACAGGCAGGTGCCTCTCTGCACTTGGCTGTCTCTTTTAATCATCTTTAGGGCCCTGTTATAGTTTTTAACATGGTGCTGACATGTAACTCCTATTGAACAGCACTTACATTGTCTGCAGTACTGTGCAAACAGTAGAAGTGGGACTGGGCATTGTGTAGTTTACTGTGTATAAATTTAGGAAAAGACAGTTTTCCTTTGTTTTTTCCTTTGTCTTAATAGATATAAAAATAACTTACAATGTGAGAAGTAAAATTTATTGGCAAGTAAAGAGAATATTCAAGAATATATTTTAGTTACATGCCTGTAATCCCAACACTTGGGAGGTTGAGTCTGAGCGTTCAAGGCCAGCCTGAACTACACAGCAAAACCCTGTCCCCAAAAAACAAAATATATATTTGAAGATGGACATGGTGGCATGTATCCATAATCCCAGCACTGGGGAGGCTGAGGCGGAAGGATCAGTGAGGCCTGCCTGAACTACATAGGAACTGAACTACCCTGTCTCAAAAAACAGATGCAGAGAGTCTGGAATTTAGTTCAGTGCCACAAGCACCTCCTTGATAAGCCTGAGGTTGTGAGTTTTATGCCTGGTACCAAACAAACAAACAAACCCAAATGAACAACAACAAAAAAACCAAGAATATATCTTATTTGCTAGTATGCTAAGATTTTAGCAAAGAAACTAAACCAAGATAGGATTAAGGCAGCTCTCTTTATCTTTGAAACCTGAAATAGATTTATCATAAGTACTTCATTAATCTTTATATTTACTAGGGCTGATGGCACCATCATGTCTAAATCTGTTGCTTTACATTATACTGAACCAGGATGTAAGTAAAAGTAAATTTTAAAAAAGCATAAAGACATGATACTGCATGCCTGGGAGGCTGGGGCAGAAGGGTTGAAAGTCGTCTTTGCCTAGGCAGTTTAAACCTGGTCTCAAAATAAAGTAAAATGACTGGGGATGTAGCACAGCATGAATGGGTTCAATCCCAAATCTGGGCAGTGGGAGATGAATAATGATTATTAAGTGTGTTGTATGAAAATAACATAGAGGGACTTTTGTGGCTCTCAAGACCAGAATTGTTATTTTACATAGAAATATATGCTAAAGATATTTTTTAAAATCTTAAGTATGCACTGAGGATTTTCTTGAGTTTCAGGGTCGTTAAGTTCAGAAACTTATAGTAAAATCAGTCATTAGAATGAGAAGTTTATGCAAATTGTCTATTTTAATCAGAACCGTTTCTGTCATATGTTCTTTAACTAAAAAGTATATTTGGAAAGAAAAAGAAAAAAAGGGAAAAATACTATTTGGTATATTTTTTGCAGCGAGGCAATACACGTCTTTTTCAGAGGCATGAACATTAGAAATGCTTTTGATGGGAGCACTTCTGTAACACAGTATTCTAAATGAAAAACTTTTGTTTCCCAGTTCCCTTTTTTTTGGAGGTGTTCACAAGTTCACATACTGTTTAATGCAAGAGAACTTGAAACTTGATTATTTTCATTTTGTTCCCTCTTTGGATCAAATGAGCTATATTTATTTTGTAATTATAAAATTTGTTATAGTTAAGGAAAATGATGGAATATTAAATGTGGTAAATTATGAAAAAAAAAAGTTTAATACTGCTACCCTTCCTATACCCCAACACACCTATAGCCACTTGACAGGAATATGAGCACATTGCTTTGGGATTCAGATGAGACTGATTGTTAAATCTTCGAATGATTTGGAAGTCTTTCCATGTCAGGGTCCTGAAATCTATCTCACTTTTTTGTTCTTTTGTTTGACACAAGGACTTGCAATGTATTCTAGCCTGGCCTTGAATTTGCTGAGGTCGTCCTGTCCCAGCTGCCAAAGTGTTAGGATTATAGGTATGTACCCCAACACCTGGCATGAAATCCACTTAATTCTTTTTTTTTTTTTTTTAGTGGTCCCGGGGATTGAACTCACAACTGCGTGCTTGCAAAGCAGGCGCTTATGCCACTGAGCTAAATCCCCACCCCTATTCTTTTTTTTTTTTGTCTTTTTCTTTTTTATCAGTACCAGGGATCGAACTCACGACTGCCTGCTTGCAAGGCAGGCACTTATGCCGCTGAGCTAAATCCCCGGCCCCCCCACCCCTATTCTTATAAATAACTGTATATTATCACTACACTGAAGTACCTCAGCTTGCTGTCTTTTTTTTTTTTTTTTTTTCCCTGAGATGGGGTCTCACTGTAGTTCATGCTCACCTCCAACTCCCAGTGATCCTCCTGCCTTGGCCTCCCAAGAGCTGGGATTACTAGCATGTGCCATCACTCCCAGCAGTACCTCAGTTCTTAAATATAGAATATACTTCTTTTAAATAAAATATAGTTGGCTTTTACATAGCCTAATACTGAAAACTGTTCACACAATATTTGAATAGATTGTGTCTTTCTTAGCCAGCTCATTAGAAATTATTCTACAACTGAATTGTATTGTTTCTTTTTTTCTTTGGTTTTAGAGACAGGGTCTTAAAGTGGGCATGGTGGCTCACACCTGTAACCCTAGCACTCCGGAGGCTGAGGCAGGAGGATCATTGCGAGTTTGAGACTAGCCTGGGCTACAGAGTGAGCTCAAGGCCAGCCTGAAATGCGTAAGGAGACCTTGTCGAAAAAAAAGAAACAGGGTCTTACTTTGTGTTGTAGGCTGGTCTTCAACTCACTGGCTCAAGCTGGCTTCAAATTTGGGGTGATCCTCCTACCTCACCCTCCTGAGTGCTAGGCTCATAGCTATGTGCTTCCATGTCCAACTGATTGAATTATATTTTATAAGACTGTATTACATTTTACATTTTGAGCTGGTTAAGCTCAAGGGCTTGATTGGATTAAGAAACTCCTGATGAGGTGATTCAGTTGCAGCATCATCCATTGATGAGTTCTCCGAAGAATGGACTGCCTGAATACTTGCAAGAAGTGGGCAATTGGGATCTGGTGTCACGCACTGTACCTGGTTCCAGGCCTCTTCCACTTGAGCTCTTTCCCTGCTCTCTGCATCCTGGATGGCTTTGAGTCGAGCAGCTTTCTTCCCACCTGCCCTCATGCTGTATTTCTACTGCCATGGACCAAAACAGCCAAAATAAACATCTAGTGGGTATGATGGCCCAAGCCTATAATTTCAGTACTGGGGAGGGTGAGGCAAGATGATTGCCCCCAGTTGAAGCCTCCAAAAACCAAAAATGGAAGCCAAGCATGGTGGTAAAAGTTTATAATCCTAGCACTTTGTTTTTTGTTTGTTTGTTTGAGATGGTCTTGCTATGCAGTTAAAGCAGGCTTTGAGCTCACTTTGTAGCCCAGGCTGGTCTCAACCAAAATGATCTTCCTGCCTCAGCCTCCTGAATGCTGGGATTACAGGTGTGAGCCCCCATGCCTGGCTAATCCCAGCATTTTGGAAGTTTAGGCAAGAGGACTGCCAGGCTAACCTGGGCTCATGGCATCCTAGGAGAGAGTTCAAGGCCAGCCCACACTACATATTGAGATCCTGTCTCAAAAAGACAAAAAAAAGGGCCGTGAATTTAGCTCAGTGGCATAAACACCTGCCTTGCAAGCTCGTGGTCATAAGTTTGATCCCTGGTACAAAAATAAAAAAATAAAAACAACCTCCCAAAATAAGTAAACATCTCTCGATTGTGGGTGTCTGGTATTTTGTCACAGCAACAAAAAAGCTGCCTAGCACACATAATCTCAGAAGTGAGGTTATTAATATGAAGTATTAAGAGGAAAAAATATATTATTCGTGAGTAATATTGTATCTGGTAAGAGCTCAGATTTAGTAAACTTAGAAAAAGAACCAATGCTTTTTAAACATTTCTTTTTTTAAAAAAAATAATTATAGCCGGGTGTGGTGGCTCACGCTTGTAATCCCAGCACTCAGGAGGCTGAGGCAGGAGGATTGTTGCCAGTTCTGAGACCAGCCTGGGCTACAAAGTGAGCTCAAGGACTGCCCGAACTGCATAGCGAGACCCCATCTCAAAAAAGACCAAAAAAAAAAAAATTATACATACATATTTTGTACAATTTGTATTTGTTCTGTACAATATTAAATTTCCTTTCTCCAAGCCAACACACAGGAATAACATCAGGATCAATGTTGTAGCTGGATGTCATAGTGCATGCTTGTAATGGCAGCACTCAGGAGGAATAATTTGGAGTGGTCTCTTGAGAGGGAGCCTGGGCCACATTGTGAGTTCAAGACCAGCCTGAACTATACAAGGATACCCTGTCTCATTAAAACCAAAACAAAACAAATAATATTTCAAAAAGTTATCCAGAACTGTGTGGGCTTTTATAAATTGCTTTTGGATACAACTGTGTCAGGTATGCCTTATAAGGCAGAATATTTTTTCTTCCGTTTTATTTTAGGAAAGGTTATTTGTCAGTGAAGATAATGTTAATTTGTTTCTTGAAGAGGTCCTGAACCCTCCATTCAAACAGACAGTGTCCCCAACACCACCACTAATTGAAGTTCTTCAGGTTACTGATGAGAAGATTCAGATTCATGCAAAGGTAAGATTTCGGTGGGCTTTTGGGGGGAATGACTAACAAGATTAAGGCCTAGTTCTTGATTTCATAATGTCATGACTTAAAAACAAAATGTACTATATATGGCTGGGCATAGTGGAAGAAAAAAGACTTTTGTCTGTATATTTTTATGTGCTTAAACATTCCATGGTTAGAAGATAGAAGTCTCTTTTGACTTTCAAGTTATGGCAGTTATGTCATAGTATTTATCCATTCCTTCCAGTTAAGACTTAAATTTGCACTGTGTAATGCCAGCATTTGGAAGCTGAGGCAGGAGGATTGCTCCTGTTTTTGTGATGTTTTTGGAGGGAAGTGGAGTTTGAGGGGGTGGTACCAGGGGCCTAACACAGCTTCATTCTGAGCTATATCCCCAGCCCCAACCCTTAAGTTTGATCATTTTTGTAGTCATCAGTATTGGACACAAAAATAACAGTGACAAGCACCACTGATACATGAATTAGGGGAGAGATGGCTCTGAAGAATCACAGAAATTTGGGCTGGGGATTTAGCTCAGCAGCCTAAGCACCTGCCTGGCAAGTGTGAGGTCATGAGTTCGATCCCCGGGTACCACAAAAAAAAAAAAAAAAAAAAGAATCACAGAAATTCAAGAAAGCTCAAGAAATCTAACCATATCCTTTAGTGACTGTTAAGGGTTTTGCAGCCCATGTGTTTTGTTTTGTCATGTTGTTTATTTGGTACTGGGGATCAATCTCACAACCTCACGCTTGCTAGGCAAGCACTTAAGCAACTGAGCTAAATCCCCAGCTTCAGACCATTGTTTAAAAGCTTGCACTATTTTATACTGAAGATGAGTGATGGAAAGGATTCAATCAGATAATGAAAGCCAAGCTAGCAGTTAGAAATGGTGGCATTTCAAGGATAACTTTGAGGAGAAAGCATGGAAGTATATTTGCAGATCTGCAAGGGTTCTTACAATATAGCTTTTTAAAAACCATTTTGCAGTGGTACAGTTTGATGTATTTCAAAGAATTATTAATCTCATTTTTTCTTTGATAGTTCCAAGAATGTAGTAATCCTGATCAGCTGCAAGGAAAGGAAAAAATAATCAATGAAGGATGTCCTCTCACTGAAAATGAAAATATAGACCATCTTACAGCGTCTACAATTGATTCTGATTCATCCATGTCAGTTAAAGCACCAGAAATAGATACTTGTGGTTCAGCTGCAGGCTTGCAGCAGGACCCTCTTGATGCTTCTCAAACGATACTAGGAAAAATGGAACCTGAGGCAAAAATGGAACCTGAATTTGTAAAGGAAAAAACTGCTACTTATTCCAATGAGGAAGATAATTTAAAGGAACCTGTCATAACTGCAGAAAAAAATCTAGATGGCGGCCACCAATCTTCGTCCCTGAACAAAACTGTAGTTCATAATACAACTGATTTTGACAGCATAAAGGAAACCAATATGCAAGACGGTAGTGTGCAGGTTATTAAAGATCATGTGACTCATTGTGCATTCAGTTTTCAGAATTCTTTGCTGTATGATTTGGATTAATTCAGTGTATTTTTGCAGTTTGAATGTTTAAAAACTTGGGGAATCTTGGGGCTGGGGATTTAGCTCAGCGGCATAAGCGCCTGCCTTGCAAGCAGGCAGTTGTGAGTTCGATCCCTGGTACCAATAAAAAGGAAAAAGACCAAAAAAAAAAAAAAACTTGGGGAATCTGAAATAGTTTACTAAAACTGAAGATATTCCAAAAAATACAAAATATAAATTAAAATTTGCAATTTTTAAATTGGGAGAACTGGAGATATTTTTATTTAAACAGTTTTCTTAATGATATAAATACTAGTTTTGTGATTAGTCTGGAGGTTTTTTTCTAGTGGAGAGTAAAACATTTAGTTTTAATACAATCTATTTATTGACTTCTGATGTTTATTTTCTCTTTGTTTAATAAAGTTTCAAAGTAAATAATCATAAGTTGTGTTTGTCACACAAAGGAGTTTTCAAGATTGGAAGTAGAAATATAAGTATCTGTGCAAGAATGGAATTTCAAAACTACTTGTTTCAAGTGTGATACGTTTATGTTGAAGACAGGTTCTTAGAGGCAAAAGAACTTTTAATCTGTATTAATGATTAAATAATTACAAATATACCAAATAAAATTTAGTATTTTTGCATCAATTATGTTTTACTCTTTTCCTGTCACACAAGATATATATTAGAAATATATGGTTAATGACTTTCAAAATTCAGTTTTTGAAGTTACTACTAAACATCAAAACATTTTAGTATTAAAGAACACATTTAAGAATCTCAACGGAATTTTTAAAATCAGGCAATTTGCTCCAGTAGGCAAACTGTCCTATTATTACATCAAGACAGTTTCTTTTATAACACAAAAGTATGAGACAAAAAGTTTAACCAGATTTTTTACACAAAACTTTTTAGACAGTATGAAAAAAAATAGTAAAAAAAAATTTGTTGACATAGCACTGACCCAAGCCATGAGCCGATGTACAGTGTTTCTGGGAATCAGTTCTTTGAACTGAAAAGGAGATAGGTCAGGGTGCCAAAAGCTGCTGTAGAGCCTGGTGATTCACTCTGATTTACATTTAGAACCTCAGGCTGAAATGGAAATGGGCACCAGCCTGGGATGTGAGGGTAGTGTGAATGTGTCCCACAGCAAGGGAACTGTTTGCCTCACCTTTGATGAATGCATCCATTTTTCAACCACCCTGTCAATCTTAAATTAATAACTGTTGAGACTGTCTTAAATTTTCTGGGGTTAAAATTTCCTATAGTAATATCATTGCACAGAAATTAGTCTTATGAATAGTTTTTGGTTGAATACAGTTAAAGACAATATGTGGAGTAAATTTTAAGCCTGTTTTTTGTTACTTACTACACCTGCCCTTTGGTGCTGAAAATTGAATCCAGGAACATGAAAGCAAATTCTGTTACCATTTAACTAAACCCCTAGAACTTACATCTACTGTATTTTGGCTTTTTTTTGAGATGGTCTCATGTAGTTTAGCTTGACCTTGAACTATATTGTCCAGGCTGGTCTCAAACTCAGGGCAATCTTCCTGCCTCAACCTCCTGAGTGCTGGGATTACATGTGTGCACCTCACAGTGGCTTTGTTTCATTTTTGAGACAGTCTCACTATGTAATCTAGGTGGGCCTCAAATTTGTGATCTTTCTGCCTCAGTGTACCAATAGCTCAGATTACAGTTGTGCACCCCCCATCCCTGTATTTGTTCTTAAAAGTATGACTTTAGTTAAAGTTGGCACTAGATATTGCACTTTGGCACCACTGAACTTTGTAACATTTCTGGTCTTCAAAAACAATTTGGGCTGTATTTCCCTTATGCAGCAGCTTTTTATTGTTCTTTATCTATGCCTGACTAATTTGAAAGTCATAGGGAATGGACTCATGAATAGGGTTTTATTTTAAACTCATATCATGTACATATAAGTAAATAAACGTTAGTTGTAAAACTAACATTCAAAACCTAGAATGTCTTGAATTTAAGTTTTAACTAAAACTTACTCTGCAAAATGATTAGGAATCTTTTTATGCAAAAATGAGTATTTTATTTTGGTAGCACTAAAAGAAAAAAAAAAACACTGTTTCTACATTGAGGTGAAAACAATATTTAAAATTTCTTATCAAATACATTCCAAAAGAAAGTGTTCTATGAAGTTTTCAAAGCACAGGCAAATCTTAACACAACAGTTCAAGAATCCATAATACTGAAAATGACTGCTCTGAGGGTGTTTTAACAGACTTAACCTTTGAGTTCTTAAACCACTGAAGCAATTCCTTGCTAATAACCATGTCAGTGAAATTGGACTTGTTCCATTAATACTCTATTAATTTCATTGTAATACTTTTTACTGCTATGAGTTTTAAATTCTGCTGTACTTAAAATATGTTTTGAAAGTGGAAAAGTGTACAAAATTTTAGATAAAAAGACTAAGATGCAACTTAAAACTTTTCCTTATCTCTCCTATGAAATGCCAATAATCATGACCTTTAGCAGACGGTCTGAACTTCAAAACCCAACTCCCAAAATGAAAACTTCTTTTAAATCTTAACCAGACATAACTGAAAAGATTACTATATATTTGGACACCTTTTACAAGAAAAAGATTTTTGCATTAAAGCAGAAACCAGTTCCTAAACCTTTTTATTACTCAATTGTATATCCTGTTGAGACAAATATCAAAAATAGAAGACTGTCACTTTTGCTTCTGAAATTTTTTTTTCACTGCAGTCTTCTATAACTTTTACAGAGTTCATGGTCCCTAATGTCTCCCCACCCTCCATTTTTCCTAGGTGGAGTAATGGCTACCATATTAAACTTCTCACTGATCAGCAGAGTTTCTGGAAACATGTACTGCTTATTACTATTTAAGAGCGACTCGATCTGGGCACTCTGGGTGGATGGCCTACATGTTTTCTTGTGATGCATACCGCAGTCTCCAGCATGAAAGATCCTGGGAGCTTGAGGAACCAGCACTTTCCAGTATTTTGGAAGACAAGATACAGTCAAATACTGAAGAGTCCAGTCCCAGTTATAATCATCATAAGTACAGAAAGTGTCTGTGCACTCAATCAGCTGCTGATACACCTCCCGGGTCAAGGCTAAACCCATATTGTGCTCTGTGGATTTCCAAGTTTTTACATCTACCTTGTCAGCAATGCCGTGGAAACTACGACTAGCAGTATAGGTCCCCAGTGAGAGAACGTCACACTCCGGACACTCTTGCTGTCTCAATTTCCACATCTTTTTGATGACATGGTAAAAGTCTGGGGCTACGTAGTGATCTTCTTCTAGGAAAACTATAAGGCCAGTATAATCTCGAAGAACTTTGACCCTTTCCCATACAAAATGCAGCTTCCACCACCAATGATGTTTGGTTTGGGAGAATTTGGCCTCTCTATAATGACCAAAGGAGTCGGGATACTCAGCATTAATGCACCCCAATTTCAAAGCTGCATTCTTCTGCAGGTCTCTGGGGCAATCTCTGGGGTCACTGCCTGGAAACTCATTTGGGTACAACTGAATGCTGAAAGGAAAGAACACCTGCAGAACCGGACAGAAATCCACCCCAGCGATCAGCTGGTTGATCTCTGTAGACCAGAAGTCGTGGCTAAAGATGACTAGGATGTCGTCAATGCCCTGGGCTTTTCGAAGTGAGTCCAGCAGCAGTCGGAGGTATTCGGGCCGGTTGTGCACCTGGATCACCAGCACCAGGTCCCGTGGGGCCCAGGTGCTAGCCTTCTCTACATTTCTCAGCGTCTGATCAAAGTTCCGCTGGTACACCAGGGACCGGTACCGCAGCGTCAGGTTGTCCGTCTCGGCCTGCGGGGCGGCAGGGACCAGCGGAACCGCCGACTCGTTGGAGCCCCTGCGGATGCCCACCGACACGGCGGGGTGGTCCCCGCCCCGACCGCCCGCACCCCGAGCGGGCTCGGCATCCAGCAGCGGAGGGGCCAAGGCCTCGTTCTTCCTCTGACGCCCATTGCTGCTCCAGAGGACGAAACCGCAGGCAGCCACCACGAGTGTCAGGATCAGCACCTTTCGCTTGTAGATGCGGAACCTCATGGTCTCCAAGGCCGGGAGCGAGGGCGGGCGCGGAAAGCAGCTGGCGGCCTCTATACGGAAGGGGCGGGCGGGCGGCGGCCACTGCCTGGGCCTGCGGCGGTAGGAACTGGCCCCCGCGGCTGTCCTCTTTACATCATTCCGGGCCCCGCGGGTCCCAGGGCCCGAAGGCTCTCAGCTGCCCCGCGTCGCCCGGTTTCCGCACATCCTGGTCTGGCAGCTGCAGCCGCTAGGAGCCGCGGCTCGGCGTCGCCTCGGTCCTCTCCATTCAGCACCACGGGTTCCGGAAGAATCCCAGCCACGGACCCACCACACCCCAGCTTGGTTACCTGCGCCTCCAAGGGCGTTGCGTCCCCCGCGTTCTCATCCTGACTCGGGATGGGGACCTGCAAGACAGAGCGACGCAGACTCGCACCGCTCCAGCGGATACCGCTCTGACAACCCGCGACTGGCCCAAAGAGCGCCGCGGATCCCCGGCCCACACCCTCCGGCCCGCCCCCCGAGGCCGCGGGTTGGCGCTTCGCAGACGCGTCCTGAGGCCTCCGGCCGCAGCAGCCAGCTTCCTATTGGCTTACAGCCCTGTCGCTTAAGTTCAGTTCCTACTTCCGCCCCGTTTGTTCCTTTCCTGTGAGGCGCGAGCGGCGAGAGGCGAGGAGTGAGGGCTTCGGATCTATCGGTAAGTGGAGAAAGGGACCTAGGCGATTGGGACAGGAACCCCCAGTGCTTAGGACCCAAGGGTGGGGTGGACTTTTACAGAAGGTGGCGGAGGAGACCCGCAACCGTGATTTAATGGCGTTTGAGCCTGGCTCCTCCATCCCGAGAGCGGCCCGCGTGGCGGCCCGGACTGCGAAGCCGGCCGGCCGGCTGGCTAAGGACACGTCAGCCCTCAGGGCGGCTGCCGGGCCCGCGTACTGCGGAAGGGAGAAGTGAAACCAGGTCCATGGAATTCTGGAGAAGGAGCGGGGCGGGTCGTCGCAGAAGTTACTACTCGGTGGACTGCGCCAGCCATGCGGGAGAGCCTAGAAAATGGAGGAAGTGGGGGAGGGGACGGAGTCCTCAGGAAACTCGGTTTTATCTTTTCCGCGGAGGAGAGAGCGGCACCACATTTTATGTTTCCTGGGCAGCCACAAGTTAAAGCGTTAAGGAAAGCCACTTTGGACAGAGAACCGGTTGTCCTGGCGACTCCTGGTGCTCCCCGTGTGTGTGTGCGTGCAGTGCTGAGAGTCGGAAAGCCAGGCCTCACACTACAGAAAGCGCTTCCCCAGACCCTTCCAGGAATGGAAACGGTCCAAAAATGTGGGGGTGCGCGCCTGTAATCTCTACGCGTAGGAGGCTGAAGCAGGAGGATTGGTATGAATTCGAGGCAAGCCTGAATTACATAGTTCAAGACGGGCCTGCACTACACAGCGAGATCCTGTGTTTAAAAAAAAAAATGGGTAGATTACACGACTGATTTATGTGATGGTGTTTTAATTGTAAAGCACTTTAACTTTTCATGTTTCATGTTCTCTACTTTAAAATATTTATTGCCTTTTTCATCGTGTAGACCGCTTTACTGCCAAGATGGTCAACGTACCTAAAACCCGAAGGACTTTCTGTAAGAAGTGCGGCAAGCATCAGCCTCACAAAGTGACCCAGTACAAGAAGGGCAAGGATTCCCTGTATGCCCAAGGAAAGAGGCGCTACGATCGGAAGCAAAGTGGCTACGGAGGGCAAACGAAACCTATTTTCCGGAAGAAGGCTAAAACGACCAAGAAGATTGTGCTCAGGCTGGAGTGTGTGGAACCTAACTGCAGATCGAAGAGGATGCTGGCCATTAAGAGATGCAAGCATTTTGAACTAGGAGGAGACAAGAAGAGGAAGGGCCAAGTGATCCAGTTCTAAACTTTGTGTTTAAGGCAAAAGTGTTGAAGCTGTGGGAAGACAGGCTGTAGGAAAATAAATGCAGTAGTAACCATAACCTCAATCTTTGTTTCTTGATTCAATTGCATATTTAACGTAAATTTTCTTTTTCATATGTAGTTTTTAATTAAGGAAAGGGCAGCCTGGCCATAGTGACTGACACCCCTATAATCCCAAAACTCCAGAGGCTAAGGCAAGAGGATTACAAGTTTGAGCCAAAACTGGGCAACTTAGTGACATTCTGCCTCAAATAGGGCTGGGATGTATCTCAGTGGGAAGGTTCTGTGTTACCCTAGTACCACAAAAATAAAATGACAAAATTATATGAAAGTAAATTAAGATGCATCCTCCTCTGAAATTCTTCCTTTAAATTTGGTTCACAGGAGTGGAATTTTATATTTGTAAGGACAGGAGTTTTGCTTCAAACTTTATAATCAGGTTTTAGAGGTTAGTCACTAAGGAGGAAAAGCCAATACTTGTTTTCTGGTTAATTTTGTGTTAAGTAGAACAGGGGGCATCAACTGGGGTTACTTGTGAGATGCCCCTAATGGATGCCTGAAGTCCTCTAGTTCTAAACCCTAAATGCATCTTTTTTTTTCTTTATACATAAGGTAAAGACTAGGGACAATAATAAAAACACAAATGATCATACTGTAATGAAAGTGCCAGCATCACTATGGTTGTATGTTGGGGGGCAATGTTGAGTAAAATGAGGGGAGGTTACTGCAGGCCAGGCTGATAGACTGGATGTTTGGGACAAAGGTGTCACCTGGCAGGCAAGATGGCAAAGTGTCATAACTACTCATTGTCAATTTAAAACATGGAAGTGTTCATTTCTGGAATTTTCTCATTTCACAGTTTCAGGCTGGAGTTGATTGGGTAACTCAAGACTGGATAAAGGGGACTCTGGTATAAGGTTGGGTGGATTCATAATTTTTGAGCAGCTGGGAAGAGTTGATCAGATTAAGAAATAAAGGCTATCAGACCTGTGTGTGACGAACTAGATGAGGTAAAGACCTCAACTGGGGGACAGCTGACAATTGTCAGGTCTGAGGTACACACCTAATTACAACTACTCAAAGTCCAGACAGGAAGAGTACAAGTTCAAGGCCGGCCACCCTAAGAAACTGAACCTATATCAAAAATTAAAGGGGTCAGGTCAGATGTAGTGTATGTAATTCCAGCCTGTAATTCCTGTAATTCCAGCAGTTGGCTGAGACAGGAGATTCACAATGAGTTTGAGGTCTGCCGGGGTTATATGGCAAAATTAAAGGGGTCAGGTCAGATGTAGTGTATGTAATTCCAGCCTGTAATTCCTGTAATTCCAGCAGTTGGCTGAGACAGGAGATTCACAATGAGTTTGAGGTCTGCCGGGGTTATATGGCAGTGAGTTGAAAGCCAATCTGAACTATACATGACCCTGTCTCAACCAATCTACCCATAAACAATAAAATAACCCCAATCAATCCATATATGCATGGGGCTGGTAATACAGTGGTAGAGCATTTGGCTAGCATTCATGAAGCCCTGGGTTCAATCCCTAGTACTGTGACACACTGCCAATGTGCTATCTTGTAGTTGCCACTTACCGTGTATAAATCTGAATTAACTATAGAAGGCAGCATGGAGCCTGGACTTAAAATCCAGCATGTAAAGCACCTGGGACAGGGTAGGGGACAAATAAATGGCAGTTGTTTTTTTTTTTTTTTCAAATTTAAAGGGACCATGATATAAAATATTGTATTGTTTTTTTCAGTACTGGGAGTTGAACTCAAGTCCTTGTGCTTCCCAGGCAGGCGCTTGTGCTCCTGAGCTGTACCTCCAGTCCCAATAATACACTATTTTATAATATAATTTTTGCTGCAAGAGTTTAACTGATCACTAGCTATATAAAATGTTTTAAAATTTTTTGAAACAGGCTCTTGCTATGCAGTTCAGGCTGGTCTTGAACTATGTAACCCAAACTGGCCTTCAACTCCAGCAATCCTGCCTCAGCCCCCCAAGTGCTGGGATTACAGGCAAGCATCTCTACAACCTGCCAATCTATTTTTTTTTTTTTTAAGCAGGATATATGTACTGAGAGAAAGCGTTTGTCAGAGATACAGAAGGGGTCCTGAGTTGGCTCCAGAGACTGTTCCTTCTAGGGACTTTCACAAGGAAAAACCCCAAAGTGAGGCAGGCGCACGGTAGGGGAAAATGGGAACTCACAAGGCAGATGGTCATGAGGTGGGACAGGACCACGGACAACTAATAAAATTGTAACTGCTCAGGCAAAACTGACCAAATTGGGACAAATGGGGGAGCAAGTCACGCAGCAAGCAGCCATGCATAAAGAGCAGGGACTCTTGCTGTAGGAGGCTGGGACAGCGAGCCCTCAGCTTCCCCAAGGCAACAGAGAACCAGCTGAATATCAATTCCTGATGCTCATTCCTAGAAAGCATGTAGGTGCACCGGATTCCTCCTTTGTCCTGAGGTCTGTCCCCCCATAGTTGCTGGGTATCTGGCCTTTTGCATTGGTTCCAAGGTCCCAGCCCTGACTGACTGCTCACACTCCCTCTGTCCAATTCAGCTGCCTATAACAACCCCCTCTGCAGAAGTAACCAGACTGCTGTGTAATGGTGAACACCGATCTGGCTTCTCCAGGCTGAAGGGGTCATAGCTGTTGATCAGCAGTCAAAGGCCCTCAAAGACACCAGGCGTTTTTCTCCTGGGTAGGCGTACAGCTTTCAGTTTCCGTCCATGATGTTGGTGGAACCCTCCAACTGATAGAGGGGAATGAAACTCCCAACCTACTAGATATGTGGCATAAGCTTGTCTTCTCTAGAATCGAAGAATTCTAAAAACATCAGAGACCAGGGGCAGAACATATCTATTGAGAAAAAGAAAGCTTCTGTCTGAGAGAAGGAAGGGGTCCTGAGTGGGTTGTCCCCCAAATATTTTTAAAAAGATTTTTGAGACAGAGTCTCACTATGTAATTCAGGCTGCTCTTGAATTCACTTTGTAATCCAGACTGGCCTCAAACTCATAGGGATCCCCCTGCCTCAGCCTTCTGTAGTGCTGGGATTACAGGTGTGTACCACCACACCCCGCTCTCATCAATACAAATTTATTTGTAATTTTCTTTCTTTTTTTTTTTTTTGTCTTTTTCATTTTTTATCAGTACCGGGGATCGAATTCACAACCACCTGCTTGCAAGGCAGGTGCTTATGCCGCTGAGCTAAATTCCCAGCCCCTCAATACAAGTTTAAATTCAACCTCTGGTCCAATACCGTTTCCCAGAGAAATCAGCATTGAAAATTATGTTTTAAAGATCATATAGCAGTAAAGTTTTAATTAAAGTGTTCTAACATTTAAAACAGTATTTACTCAGGAATAATTTGAATTTTCAGAAAAAAAAAATGATCAAAGTGAGACACATTTTAGACAAACAAAAACAGGAGTTTTAAAAAAAATAACCTAGAGACTCTATTCCCAAGTAGTAAGATGTTAACCCAGACAGTTGTCTCTGGAAACTTTTATATTTTCCTTTATTCCCCAAAACCAGTGAAGAGGCTGTTTTTTAATGGTCTGGTGGAGAGAGTGACTGGAAGTGGGGTAGTGGGAATGAACAGATGGAACAGTTAGTACTGATTCTCTTTTCCACAATGTTTTCAAGTCCATTCCTTTTCAGTTTATTTTGTTGTTGGAGTTCCATCCCCTCCCCTCAAAACAGTCTCAATAAAGTGCCTAGACTAGCCTACAGTTTGTAATCCTCCTGCCTCAGCCTCCCAAAAAGTAGCTGGGATTAAAGCCATGCACACTTAAAAAATGGCTGTGTCAGTTTTTAATTTAAAATCTGGGTGGAAAGCCAGGAATGGCAGTGCACTGTGGCAGCTATTTGGAAGCTTAGGAGGGAAGACTGCCAAGTTCCAGGGCAGCCTCAGCAACTTACTGAGACCCTGTCTTAAAGGAAAGAAAATGAAGGAAAAGAAAAGAAAAACAGCTGAGAATGTAGCTGAGCTCTCCTGGTTTCAATCCTCAAGGCAACAAAAACAAACAGAATACAATCAATAATGCACCAAGTTTCTGGTTCCTCTCAACTCCAAAAAGAAAAAAATTAGAATCAAGATGGACATGTGGGGGCTGGGGATTTAGCTCAGCAGCATAAGCGCCTGCCTTCCAAGCAGGCAGTCGTGAGTTCGATCTTCGGTACCGATAAAAAGGAAAAAGACAAAAGACAAAAAAAAATAGACATTTGGGGGCTGGGGATTCAGCTCAGTGGCAAAAGCACCTGCCTTGCAAGCAGGCAGTCATGAGTTCGATCCCTGGTACTGATAAAAAGGAAAAACACACACACACAAAAAGACAGGTGATGGCTATTCCAAAACCTGTAAAAGCTGAAGTTTTTTCCCAAAGCAATTCTTACTTAATGCTTAGTGTATGTGAAATGTGTGAGGAATACAGAGTGGTGAGATTAAGCAGTATATCAAGTACTCCTCATCTGAAATGCATGGAACTAGAAGTATTTTGGATTTCAGGATTTTCTTCTACATTTCAACTATTTGTATACACAACATGTGCTATTCTGGGGGTGGGGCGAAATTCTTTTGTGTTTCCTATCTCTGTGTACACATAGCCTGAAGGTAACTTCCTACAGTACCACACTTCTAGAAGGCCTGAGTTTGACTGTTACCTGTCATGAGCTAGGGTGCAATCTTCCACTTGGGACATCCCACCAAGTAAGTATGAAGTTTCACATTTTGAATTAAGGGTGACCAACCTGTACACAGTTTAACAGTGAAGTCTTCACTATCATTTAGAACATTAATACTCAGAAGTTTATTTTTCTGGCATATAGAAACTTCGCTTTGCTTTGGGGACATAGCTTGATAATACAGCTTTTGTCTCTAATACACACAGCTCAGGTTTTGATCTCCACTACTGAAGGAGAAAACAGCTGGCTGCAGTGTTACAACGCTGTTGTCCCTGCATTCTGGGAAGCTGAGGCAGGAGGACTGCTTAGTGACTTAGCAAAACCCTGTCTCGAAATATAAAGTTTAAAAAAAATAATTCTCTGGGGATGTAGTTTGGCTAGAAGGTCTTGGGCTTGAGCCCCAGTACTGCAAAAATGAATGAATAAAGTAAATACAAAAGATAACCCTACAACCTACACTACAATATAAGTTAACCCTGCAATAAAATTTGGTTTCAATGAGATCAAAGTCTTAGAGGACTTAACATTGGCCCATACCCATTCCTCTGCAAGCAAGCATACAGAAAGCTTCCCTGTCTCCAAACCAACATGGTCAAGCTAATTAATCCCTGACTGATCTGTAACTAAAGTGAAGTTTCTTCCACAGCGTGGCGTCACTTGAACATATCTGAGGAGTTAATGTAACAGGTTAAAGAACAGAAATAACAGGTAATAGGTGCTTCAGTCCCACCCATGTTATCCACTAAGACCACAGTGTGGGCGACGGAGTGCAGGTTCATGGTGGCAGTTCCTTGAATAAAACTCGTTAGACAAAATCTTCCACAAATGCAGGTTTTTGCAGTATCCAAATCTTGGCAGAGATGGAAAGGAATGAGATGAGAGGCATACGGAATCCTGTTGGGAAAAAATAATCGTGTGTTACTAGATGAAGCAGAACTTTATACGTAAGTACAAGAATTACTAGGACACTGAATTATGAGAAAAAAGAAAATGATTTACTTAAGAGGACTCAGTATATTATTTTCCCAAATGGTAAGAAGGGGACAAATGGAGCTGGGTGTGGTGGCTCACGCCTGTAATCCCAGCAGTTGGGAGGCTTAGGCAGAAGGATCATTGCGAGTTTGAGACCTGCCTAGGCTACAAAGCGAGCTCAAGGCCAGCCTGAACTGCATAGTAAGACCCTATCTCAAAAAGACAAAAAAGAATAAGGACAAATGCTTGTAAACTGAGGTAATAGGATTACAAATTTAGGGCCCACCTGGTTAACTCAGGGAGACTTTATTTGAAAATAAAAAGTGGCTTCCAGGAGAACATGGTGGATAGAAAACAGCAGCTACAGAGGCTTTCTGATACCCCGCTTAGAATCCAGGAATGGTGCGGTGCAAGGAGTCCTAAGCAAGGGAGATATACCCTGCCGACCCAGGAACAAACTAAGCTGAGAGAAACCAACTGGAAATGCAATCCCATGCTGTAACAGGAACAGATAAAATCTCAGTGCGGAAGCTGGAATCCACATCACGGGAAGCTGTGATTTGAATTTCATGCTGCTGCTGCTGTGTCCAAATTGGCACGGCAGGGAGAGAGACACATGAAAGCTCTGAGAGTGGGAATCGGCGAATGGAGTTGAAAGCGGGACTGGCAGGGAGCCCTGCATTGACCTGCAGTGAGTGAGCGGAATGGGGACCCTTCCATAGAGTAGGAGGCTCCAAAAAGGACATTCTGGGACCGGGCAGACTAGGCGGAACAGGACGTTGCAGGGACTTTAGTCACATATTGCCCTCTCAAGCGGGATTGGTGCAGAGCGCTTGGCCTGGGTGACACTGCTGACTAAGACCCAGCAGGCTAGCCCAAACCAGGTCCCAGCACCTGCCTATGCACCCTAGCAGTGAAACCTTCAGTAGGTTGACCTGGAGGGGCGGGCCCAGCAGAGGGTGCCCGGGTCTGTGTCTCCCTACTGCACTGCAGTGGGCAGGAACACCTAGCCGGCGGATTCAAACAAACTGTAACCGACAAAGAAAGAAACTGGGCCTCCTATATATGCTTGTATGGAAGGAACAAAAAGTATGGGAAGAGGGAGCAACAAGAAAGGGTCCTCAGTCCCCAGTCCTGAGAACACTGATCCAGGAAAGGTAAATGCAAAGGAGGACAGAAAACATGCAATATCAGACACAGCACCAATAGACAAAAAGCGCTATCTTGAGAGCCTCATAGACGAGTTCAGGAATGAAGTTATTAATGACCTGAAGCAAGATATAATAGTTAGAGAAATGCAAAGCACTGCCCAAGAAAAAAACAGATGGTAGAAGAACAGAAAAAAAGGGGAGAATTGTTTGATACAGAAAATAGAGAAAACATAGAATACGTGAAGCAGGTTCAAAGAGATTACCAGGAAACTAAAAACTCTATTGAAAGCTGGCATAACAGCTTGAAAGAAACTAAGGATAGATTATCTGAACTGGAGGGCAGATTTGTAATGTGGGAGCATTAAATGAAAAACTTCTTAAAAATAACAAGAAAACAAACAGCAATAATACAAAGGCTAGAAGATGATAAGAGAATCTATAACTTAAGAATTAAGAACATAAAAGAAGTAGGAGGGGCTGGGGATTTAGCTCAGCAGCATAAGCGCCTGCCTAGCAAGTGTGTGGTCGCGAGTTCGATCCCTGGTACTGATAAAAAAAAAAAAAGAAGAAGAAGAAGTAGGGACACAAACAAATGGACTACAAAAGCTATTCACAGAAATAATCCAAGAGAATTTCCCTAATTTAGCAAAAGGTAAAGATACTCAGATGTATGAGGCATACAGGACCCCAGCCACCTACAACCCAAACAGAGCTATACCTAGGCATATAATAATCAAAATTCCAGAAATCCAATATAAGAACAGAATATTAAAAGCCATCAGAGACAAGAAACAGATCACTTACAAGGGAACACCCATCAGAATTACAGCAGACTTCTCGGCACAAACCATCAAATCACGAAGAGCGTGGGGGGCAAATAATTCAAGCTTTGAAAGATAATAACCTTCAGCCAACATGGATATATCCTGCACAACTGTCCCTAGAAATTGATGGAAAAACAAGGTGCTTCCAGGATAAAGAGGAACTAGGGGAATTTGCAATAACCAATTCAACTCTACAGAGAATACTGCAAGATATTCTAAAAAAGGAAAATAGCAAGATTCCAGAATCAGTGGTGGAGAGGCCACAATGAATGGAGCAGAAAGTGAAATGAAGAAGACAAACTGACAAGACAGAAAAAGAGTTCAACAGAAATGAGGCAGAGAAGGTTGGATGGTAGGAACAGCTATTTTGGAGAAAAGAAGACATCATAATAGCTAGTGCTGATTTAGTATCATCTTGTTTTGAAGTCCTATCAAACTTGTATTCTTCTGTCTCCATCAGTCTTAAAAGGTTGTATCTTATCGGATTTTATTATATGATAATATAAGTAAAAACGTTTATAGACAAGGAGATTATACAGAAATCATTGTTCATTTTCTGTTAACTGGTTCTAAATACCCTGTAATAAGGTCATTCTCTTGAATGGTTTTATAGTGTCTTGATATGTTTGGTGCTACAGTATACGAAGTTATACTCAAAGATTTCAAGGAAAGAGACACTATGGTAACTACTTCTATGTCAGGATATCTTGTGGTGAAACACTATTTTGCTTAAATGGTTATGTTTTGACCTGCGCTGTTTTGTTGTTATGTCCTCTTTTATCTCAATCTTCTTTTTTTAATTATTTTTTATTTTTACCTTTTTAATTAAGGGAAAAATAAATAAAAAATGGCAGGATATATTGTAGTAACCCACTTTGATTTCCTATTAACTTGATTTGAAACCCTGTATTGCCCTCACCATCTTGTTTTGACTGATTTTCCCCTATTCTGCATTGCTTAGTACCAAGTTCGAAAGTATAGGCAACAACTGTGAAGACAATAAGATTTGTTATGACGCCCATTCTGGTTGACTATTACCTTCTTTTAAAGTCCTGTAATGTCTCCAATGTTTTGGTTTTATTCTTTACTGTTTTGTTCAATTTCATTATAACTGATGATACAGGCAATTCTTTTTAAGATAGCAAGAGGTAGTATGGTAACCATTGTTGATCACCTTGTATTTTGTTTTTACATTATATATTATGTCCATCCTTTTGATTTGACTGACTCTGTCCTGTCACATTTGGTTTTACTCTCTTCAAAAAAAAGTAATAAGAACTGTGGGAGTAATAAAACCCAAAATGTGTAACTGTCATTGTACAAAACAAAGGAAAAGAAAGTGCTCTAAAGGATATAACTGCATGTATATTTAAGTGTATAAGATAGATAACCATGTTGCTAAGTTTTTGTTGGATCATTAAACAGAACTGTTTGCCGTCTCACTGTTTGAAAATCCACTTTATATGCTTTTATTTTATAACTTGAACAACTATTTCTAAGATAACAATATGTAATCTATTAACTAGTGATTTCCTACTGTTTTTTCTGAAATTCTGTAAAACTTGTACCCTTTTTCTTTTTTTTTTTCTTTCTATTTCTCCTTAAATAAAATTTAAAAAAAAAAAAAAAAAAAAAGAAAAGTGGGGAGGGTTTGCAGGGGGGTGTCACTCAGAGCAAAGGCTCTGGGTTCATTTCTTAGTACTCTACCCCAATATCATCTGAAAAGGGTCCACACCAGTGACGGCAAACCTTTAACAGATCTCATTAATACAAACAGCCTGCTGCACGCGTGCCCTAGCTTTGTCACCACTATTCACCAACCCACAACGTACTTTTCAGCAGGAACAGTTTCATGATCTGTATCTCAGCCATATGCTCTACAAGCTCCTCTACAGCTAACATCACACTTATCTTTGTCAGATAAGAAAAGTAATATAACCAATTAATAATTATTGAGAACTCGCCGGGAACTCGCTAGAGATCCAAGTCCTTCGGCCTTATCCCACATTTACTGCATCCAATTCTGCACACCAGCAATCTTTTTACTGACTGATTAGTCTGTTAAACAGGGTCTCACTATGCAGTTCACACTGGCCTTGAACTCCCTATGTAGCGGAGGCTGGCCTCAAACTTGCTGGGATTACAGGTGCGCATCTCTTTTGTAATATGATCTCCCTACCAGTTTATAGCACTCAATAGTTGTTTTCCATCTTAACTTTCACACCTATATGAAAGTGTGAACAAAGTGAGTAAAGACAGTTCAGAGTCCCAAAAAACAAACTGTAGTGAGTGTCTAAAGGTAAGAGGAGAATCAACAGTTACTCGCTCTGTATGACAAATGCTTTGGCTTCATACTACCTCATTTATCTTCACAACTCTATAAAGCAGGTATTATTCTTATTTCGCAGATAAGAAAATTTAATCAAAGAGGTTATTGCATTCAAAAGCTAGCCTAAACCACACAGCAGTCTCAAAAAGCAAGAAAATTTCACACAAAAATCCCAAAGAATTTGCTAACGCTGTATGAAGGGGCAAGGCCCTAATTCCAAACACTGAGCTCTATCATTATGCCAAAGTGAATTTCTCAAACTTAAGGGTGACTTAGTGAGCTGGACCCCACTCAGTTTCTGATTGGGGTGCAGCTGTAAACCTGTACCTCTAAGAAGCTCGGAGCAACGTGGCTGCTGCTCAGGGGATTATATCTTGAGGGACAAGACCATTCATTAAATAATTTATTAAGGGTTTAAGACACTCCAGGAGCAGGGAACACCATGGAGATCCCGGGACAGTGATGGCGAAGCTTTTAGAGCTCTCAATGGTAACAAACAGCTCGTTGCAGCAAGCCACTGCCTTGGGGAATAATGGACAGTAAACCAAGTTCGGCCCTTACAGATCTTACATTCTTGTGGGAAATACTGACAGCAAACAAAAGTTAAAAAACGTATCAGGCCAGGCAATAAGTATTATGACCAAAAAGTAAAACAAAACAACCCACACACAAACCCACCAAGCCTTGTGGTAAGACCCTTCTAGAATGACATCTGGGCAGAAAACTGAATGAAGTGAGGAAGTAAGAAACGAGACTTCCTTGAGAAAAACTACTCAAGGTAAGAGACATCAAGACGGCCATGGGGGCAGAGAGTACACGTGAAAAAGCATACATTGCAAACATGTGCTACTAATGATAAAAATCGTAAAACAAAATAAAAATTTAGGGCTGGAGATTCAGCTCAGCAGCACAGACACTTGCCTGGCAACTATGAGATTGTGAGTTCGATCCCCGGTACCAAAAAATAAAAAAATAAAAATTTAACCAGGTTTGGTGGCTCACTCCTATAATCCCAGCACTCAGAAGGCTGAGGCTGGAAGACCTCCCCAAGTCTGAGGCCAGCCTGGGCTACATAGTGAGTTCAAGGCCAGCCTGAACTACATAGTGAGACTGTCTCAAACAAACAAAACCCAAAAAACAGAAAAAGGTCAGCAGGGCAAGGAGTCAGTTGGACACAGCACTGGAAGCTCTCCCACAGTGACTCTGACTTTCATGACAATACTGCAATGCTACCAAAGTGCTACACTTTATGACTCTGATAACCTTACCTCTTACACAGCATGGTTCTTGCAGTAGACTCCAATAAACTTAATGGCACTTGCAGCTTTATAACTGGAAGGGTTTTTGGTTGTTCAAAAGTATTTCCAAAAAGATCCAAGTACTCAAGAGATAAATTTTTAAATTCACTAGGCAAAACTGGAAGCTTATTTCGAGCTGCTGACAAAAAACGAAGATTTTTTAGCTGTCCTATCTTGAAAGGAAGTTGAATCAATTCGTTATCATCTAGTTTTAAATCGGTAAGTTGTTGGAGCTGGCAGAACTGCACAGGGAGTGCTTTGATTCTGTTCTTGCTGAGATCCAACCTTCGAAGTGATTTCTGGAGTGCAGACTGACAAAAGGCCACACTGAATGACTCCAAGTGATTGTCACTCAAGTCAAGTTCTTGAAGGTGTATGAGGTCTCCAGTTGTAGCAGGAAGCTTTTTTATGTGGTTATGACTCAAATCTAATTTCAAAAGGTTTTTTAAACAAAGCATGCGCATGTCAATTCGGATTAGCCCACAGTAAGAGGTCTGAAGATGTTCCAGGGAGTATGGAAAGTTCTTGCTTAGGGGATATTCTTTTTTGCATGTGATAATCATTTTAGTTTTAAATTTTTCAAATTCTGAACTCTTCACTGATGTGAGCGTTGAAAGTGATGTGTTGATATCACAGCCTCTATGAGCCAGTCTCAGAGCTGAAAGGAAACTCTTTAAACTGCCAGGATCGGCCTGAGGAAAAAGAATAATTTAAAATAATTATATAGTCACTCTTATATAATGCAATCATATAACAAATATTATGTGTCTTTTTTTGGTGGTATTAGAGATTGAACTCATGACCTTGTGCTTCATGTATAGTCCTTTAATGAGGAAAAGATGTTACAGTTCCGCAGTTATACAAAGTGACACAACCATTGGTTGAAACTGTCTGTAAAACATGAATTTTTAGTATTTTATTTGATTTAAATTTCAATTTTTATAGGGAGGGGAAGGGGGTTGAGAAGAGGGTAGAGGAATGAAGGAAAAAAAACAAAAACAAGTTATATCACGTACAAGTACAGATTCTCGATAATGAATGTGATCATTATGTGTATCTAAAATGTACCAACGAAATCTAATAAAAAAAATAAAGTTTACATTTACACTTTAACTAAAAAATAAATGTCAACTTTCAAAGTTTTGAGAAAAAGTTATGCTGAGTCCCAGCACTTGGGAGGCCGAGGCAGAATTGTTTGCAAGGTCAAGACCAGCCTGCACTACATAGTGAGCCCCAGGCCAACCTGAACTGTGTAGTGAGATCCTGTGTCAAAAAAGAAAAAGAAAAAAGTTATGCTGAGGGTTCATATTCTACAGAAAATTGTTCAAAGACCTAAGGCTAGAAAGCAATAAAGATTGTATCTAAGACCTGGGGTTTAAAATCAACTGACCCACCCGGTATGGTGGCACACTTCTGTAATCCCAGCACTTAGGAGGCCAAGGCAAGGGAATCATTGTGAGTTCGAGTAACCAGCCGGGGCTACAAAGAGCACTCAAGACCAACTTGAACTGCACAGTGAGACCCTGACTCAAAAAGACCAAAAATAAATAAATAAAATTTAAAAACAAATTAATTTAGTTAAATAAAATCAACTGACCCAAATCCTCAGTGCCTCTGACACAGGAGGCCAGGCTTGCTGAGTACTACAAAATGCCCACGTTACCATTCACAAACACCAGGAGCTGGCAGAGTAACAACCCTCCTCAAAAGCAACAAAGTGCTAGGAAACATGAAGGGCAAAGCACATTGCTTCTCGCTGGCAAGGAACAGAAAGCAATGATTTGAACTAAATCACCAATAAAAGTAGCTAATGTTTTACGGATATTTTAGAAGCTTCACAAAGTTTAAAAGTGAAGGATAAGGGGCTGGGGATTTAGCTCAGTGGCATAAGCGCCTGCCTTGCAAGCAGGCAGTCGTGAGTTCGATCCCTGGTACCGATAAAAAGGAAAAAGACCAAAAAAAAAAAGTGAATGATAAACAAACTTTCAAGAAGCTGGGAAACTAAAGCATGTAATCGTGTTTTGCTGGAATGGGGAAGCTGTGCACAGGAATACAAGATTAGAAAGAGTACCCTACAGGATTAGGGTACATTGTGAACGAGCCTGGATGTTAAGGTCTAGCTGTGGGAAATCACTGAAGCATTCTCAGCATGAGATTTACGTGACAAAAGCAAAATATTTTGGCAGCAGTGTCACCAAAGACCAAGAGTGGAAAGCCTGAAGACCTCAGCCAAACAGTTACAGCAGGAAAAGTCACCCACTATGGAGGGCAGATATGGGGAGAACAGTAGAGGACTGAAATAAAGCCTTTATTTCAGGGGTAGGAAAAAAAAAATGTCCTTTCAGACAGGAGTCAAATGAATAGCTGAGCACACTGCAGGTAAAGCAAGATGGTGTTCTGCCACAGACATTAGGGTTTTATTAATGAAGGAGTTAGTGTTACTAAGGGAAGAGGAATGACTAGTGCTAAGATCTACAGTGTTTAAAAAGAATGGGAACTAATGGCACTATGATTGGCAAATAATGAAATCACTCATTTTGGGGGAGTGGTAGGACCAGGGATTAAATTCAGAGCCTTCGAATGAGCTACATCCCCAGCTTTTTTTATTTTTAGACAGCGTCTCACTAAGTTGCTACATTGCTCAGGGTGGATTGAGCCTCCCATGGTAGAAGTGTGTACACTAAGGTCTGTGAGATTACTGCTCTTTCAGGTAGTGCTTTGAATAAACTAATACAAATAATGATCCACAGACAGAGTATAAAATTAGAAGTAACAGACTCAGCTTTGTCATTCCAGAAATTAGTGTAGTTCAGGATTAGAGTTCTAACTCAGGCTTCCTGCATGCTAGGTATCTGCTCTATTACTGAGCTACATCTTGGCCCAATTTTTATATTTTAAGATAGGCTGGCCTCAAAAGTTGTAAATAGTCCAGCCTCAGCCTCCTGAAAAGCTAGGATTATCGTTTTACACCACCACATATGGCTTTATTTTATTTTATTTTTTTTATATTTTTTGAGACAGACTCTTACTTTGCAGTTTAGGTTGGCTTTGAACCCAGAATGGCATCCAGGCTAGGCTCAAACTCACAGCAATCCTCTTGTCTCAGGTTCCAAGGGCTTGGATTACAGGCACACATCACCAAGCCTGGTTGTTTTTTAAATTGTTAGACCTCAGCTTGCTTTTAGATAGAAAGTAGTTTCTGATTGGTTAAGATGAAGATCAAGAAATCAAAGCCAGGTGTGGTGGCACATGCCTACAATCCCAGCACTCTGGGAAGGTGAGGCAGGATTGAGAGTTTGAACCCAGTCTGGGAAATTTATCAAGACCCTGTCTCAAAATACATTTTAAAAAGATAGGGGATGTGCCAGACAGTTACAGGCTTAGAATATCCTAAAGCTTTTCCATGGGCATAGATACAAACCCATTTTTCCTCCCCATTCTGGGATCCTAACTAAAGCAATCTCTGCTTTCTTAGAAAGCAAAGATACCTGGGAAGCTGCTTCCCTCCATTGACTCTTTAATATACCCACAAGTCTATTCTAGGCCAGCTGTATGGGATATCTGAACAGCTTCTTCTTTAAAGAAAACAGACAAACTACTGACTGATTCACTGATATACATCGTTTATGCATTCATTCATTCATTCATTCATTCATTGACAGGATCTTACTATGTAGTTCAGGCTGGCCTCAAACTTATGGCAATCCTCCTGTTCCAGCTTCCTGAGTGCTGGGATTACAGGCATGCACCACCACACCCAAAGAATGCTGTTTTTAATACCATACCTTACTTAGACAGATATCCACAGGAGGTTCCTTTAACCGGATAGTGGCCTTCCCTTCATCCACAAATTTGGTGAAGAACTGCTCAATGTTCTCCTTTAGCTGCTTAAAACCAACAGGAAAAAAGGACAAAAGTAACACTGCTATTTAACAATATGTATTATAGTCAATCACTCTGCCAGATTTTGGTTTGGTTTTATTTTTTGTACCAGGAATCAAACTCAGGACCTCATGCTTGCCAGACAGGCATTGTGCTGCTGAGCTACATCCCTGCCTTGGTTTGGCTTTTAATCCTGAAGTCTGGAAGTTTTGGCAGTTGAGTTCAGTCCTCTGTCTACATTATAGTAGATTATTGCCCTGTCCAGACTCCTTTTCTGAGAGCAGATTCCTATATCTTTCTGGATAATGTGGCTCTTTTCCTATTTCAACTATGTATCTACAGTAAGAACAGCCAGTAGTAATTTGTTTTCACAGTCTCAGTCCATTGCTTTCAGATGGACAGCTCCTGAGGGTTTCAGACCTCTTGTCTCACTTACTACTGTCTTCCTAGAGCTGCAACAGTGATTGATACAGTTTTTCATGATGCTTCCTCTTTAGACTTCAACAACTATCTAGAAGACACCATATACTAGGAAACAAGACTGGGGACACAGTAGTAAATAAGACTGGCCTGGTAAAGTACTGATGAGATGGCATATGCTTTTAATCTCAGCCCTTGGAAGACTGAGGCATGATGATTACTACAAATTCAAGGTCAGGTTGTGCTACAAAGTGAGTTCAAGGCCACCGTCAATTGCAGAGTGAAACCCGGTCTCAAAAAACTACCAAAAAAAAAAAAATACTGATAACTACACTTAATAAGTTAATAATCGGATGAAAGTAATCATAAGCATGAAAAACATTAAGAGAAGTGCAAGATGCCACAACCCAATCAAGGAAATCTTACCCACTCTAGGGGCAGGAAGATGACTTTAAAGATTTGAAGTGAAGGGGCCAGGCACCTGTGGATTAGAGGAGCTTGAGAGGTTGGCAGATGTGGAAGTAAAGTACTTGGATATGGCAGAGATGCAAACACCTGATGGAGGCTGAGGCAGGAGGATCACTGAGAATTGGAGGCTAGCCTGGGCTACACAGTGAATTCAAGACCAACCTCAACTACATAGTCTCAAACCCTGTCTCAAAAAACAAAACAAATTTAGATTTTATCCTAAACACAATGAAATTCATTGAAGCAATTTCAATCCCCAATACCTGTAATTGCAGCACTGGAGAGGCTAAACCAAAGGTATTGCAAGTTTGAGGCCAGCGTGGGCCATATATCAAAACTGTTAAAAAAAAAAGGTGAGGATATAGCTCAGTGGTGCAGCACTTGTCTAGCATGGGTGAGGCCCTGGGTTCCCAGGTATTAAGAATAAAACCTGAATTCCCTCTAATTGCATTGTTAAGCTGGAACTCTGAAGGAGAGGGGGTTGCAGTTGGGGAGGAACAATGGTAGAAGTAAGGAGAACTCTTTTTTTTTTTGGTGGTGGTACCGGGGATTGAACTCACGACTGTCTGCTTGCAAAGTAGATGCTTATGCCGCTGAGCTAAATCCCCAGCCCCTCGACTTCACTCTTAAGAGAGGGGTAGAACACTACCCTGGCATAACCATGGTTCAATCCCCAGAAGAAGAAAAGAATAAAGTGCGGGGAAAAAAAAAACCTCTTAGGAAGTAGAATTGATATGCTGGATGTGGGGAGGCAAAGGCTTTAAAATTTCTGCTATTTAATGAGCTGCAGAGCAGGCAGGTTTAGGGTTGCAAGGAAAATGAATTTCCAGACATTCTGATTTTGAAATGCTGAAACATCCAAGAGATTTCCAGGAGCAGGGAGACTTAAAACCAAAGTTAAGGGAGAGAACTAAAACACAAATTTAGAAGTCATACTTTGATATATGGTAGCTCAAGTCATGAAGTAGAAAAATAAAGGGTTTAAGAAAGAGCACCCATGGGGCTGGGGATTTAGCTCAGCGGCGTAAGCGCCTACCTTGCAAGCAGGCAGTCATGAGTTCGATTCCCCAGTACCGATAAAAAAGAAAAAGCCAGAAAAAAAAAAAAGAAAGAAAGAGCGCCCAGGTACTTGCCTCACCTGCCACCAATAACAACTCTTCAAGGCCAGGCCTAGCATCAGCTGTTTGTATGTCCACCATATCCTGAGCATTCTGCCACCCTCTTATGCTCCTCTAATCCAAATTTATCTTTTGTTTTTGATGTTCTACTATGAACACTTATTATGACCCATTTTGTATTATTTGTATATTGTGGTTTCGGTTTCTTTCTTTCTAATCTCTGAGGGTCAGTGACTATACCAAGTTTGCTATTTCCCACAGTATCTAGAACAGCACCTTGCACGCAAAAAAGTCTCCCCCTAGGGGTTCACAATAAAACCTTGGTTGGGATCCCCACCAGCTATTGTCTATTCATGCAGTAGATGTTTTAAGGGAGAAAACATTACAGGTTTTTAAGAGAGGCAAAATCCGAACTGGGTGTTAAAGAAGTCTGGTGTGTGGAAGGCAACGACCCTGAAATGGGAGACCCAATTCTAGCTATAAGTTAACAGTCACCCAACTGTTCTCTGATCTATAAAACATTGAGTGACTTGTAAAGTTCTTTCAATTAAAAAATATATATTATTTTGAAGTGAAGTTAAGGAAAAAAAATACGTATTTTGGATCCCACGAAGAGGAGTAAACTTTCAAGGACTTGTACTAAACATTAGGTGATTCTGAGTGAGACAGGGAGATAATAACACTTTTCGCAACCAAATATTCCCTGTGGAATACAAGATGTAAGAGAAAGAATCCTGAGAGTTATGTAAAACCCAGCCAAGTGTCAGATGCAAGGATGAACGATGAACTTTGTTCCCTCGGCTTTGTTTATGCAAGGCACAAAAGTACTGCACGTTTACAAACTGTCTGATAAAGACACTTGATGAATCTTATATTTTTAAAAAAAACTTTACTTCAACTTCTAACAGTCTCTGGAGAAAGTCTGCTAGACCGCTTCACTGATTCTGCTTTTCCCAAGTAGACAGCAGCCTCACTTGCAGTAGTTTCACGTAGGTTGAAATTACAAAAATCAAAGGGTGAGGTTGCTATTAACACAGAGCAGCAAAGCTGTAAATTCTGAGTCACAGAAAAAGGCAAGAAAATTAACCCAAAAATAAACTAACTCTAAAGCTTTTTTCCTCGAGGTTGTAAGGGAACCTCGCTGGACCCTAGTGCTGAGGAGGAGTGGGGTTCAGGCTTGGACACAGGCAGGGCAACTGCCTTCGTGAAGCCTGAGAGCGTCCCCTCCCCAGTCCCGGAAGAGCTCCGCATACCTCATAGCGGGTCCCGCGCCTGTCCTTCAGGGTGGAGACGAGAAGGCAGGCCGGGCGTGGGCCGGTCGGCTCGCTCTTCGCTGGTCCCCGCAGCTGACACAGGCTGACCACGGCGCGGACGCCCTTACCCCGATTCCTCAGCCCCAAAGTTGGCAAGTGCCGGCTGACCACCTCCACCTCACAGTACAGCTTCATCTTTCCCGGGCAGCGGAAACTCAGCTACTAGGGCTTTGAAACTTCCCCCTTCCCGCCTCCCCACGCAGCCATCAGGGTCCTCAGCCCTGCGGGGCTGCCCGCAGATCTGCCTGCGCTGCTCGTGCGGTCGTCGCGCGCCTGTCGGATTCTGCGGAGGCTGTGCGCCCTCCCGATGCGAGCCGGAACTCCTGCTATGGCCCCGGACCGGCAAAGTACGGACACTAATAGCCTGGCCGCCCGGCCCGTGCTTTTCGAAACCGGCGTTCAGCGAGGACGCCACGTCAGGCCCCGCGCGCTTGCCGTTGCAGGTGGTGTTTTAGGCGGCACGGTCCCCTGGAGTCTATTGGGAAGGGCGCCTGGACCTTACAAGCCTTCGAGAAAGCCCGCGAAGGCGCGGCATTTCTTTTCTTTTTTTTTTTTTTTTTTTTTTTCTTTTTTTTTTTTTTTGGTCTTTTTTCCTTTTTATCGGTACCGGGGGTCGAACTCAGGACTGCCTGCTTGCAAGGCAGGTGCATATGCCGCTGAGCTAAATCCCCAGCCCCAAGCGCGGCATTTCTTGAAAGGACAGGGTTTCTTTCTCTCCCTACTCTCTAGTCAGCGAACCTTTGGAGGAGAGACTGTGTTGGATCTGGCGATGCCGATAGAGCAAATCGTACTTGGTGGCTGGGCAGAAGGAGCGAAAGCTTCTCTTAGCTGAAGCTTGCAAGGCGCCCCAGACCCTACATGCTCCTCGGACTCTATATTCCATTTATTGAGCTTGTGTGAGCGCGAGGCCTGGGGCGCAAGTTTAAAGGAGGCGCCCACCCTCGGGCTTCTAATCTTACCTCGCTGAATTTTGTGCCCTGCGCCTCCCTTGCCTTACTGTGGTTCCGGCCTTGTGTTTAAACATTTTGTTTGAGTTGTACTTTCATAACTGTGAAATTGCATTAAGACATATTCTCTGTCCATCCCGTTCTTTGCTTTGCTTGTCCTCTTCCTTCCTTGTGAAGAGGATTGATCTCCCGGCTATTAACTGACACTTTCTGATCTTCCTACCTCAACCTGCCAGCCTGCAGGGATTACAGGCATACAGCACCATTCCTGGGTCCAAAAATACCAATTTTCAGTTCAAATGTGACAAAATTATGATTTATTGTTAAATTATGATTTAGCCTTGTTTACCAGCATATTGAACCTAAAATGTTACAGTTGAATCTATATTCTGAAAACCGTAATTTAGGACAAGTAGTGATTAAGGTAATAAATTACGACTCTCCCCATTTCATATTTTTTCATATATAGGTAGTAGAACATTGAAACACTACTCAGGATTTAGTATCAGTTCATCAGTAGGCTACAGGAGAAATTAACCCAGGATTTTCAAGGACTACTGAACTTTGTAGACTATTTTTGTTCTTTGGATGATATAGAAGAAAATAAAATAGCTCAAAGTATTGTTATAGCCTAGTTTTAACCCTTGCACCTCATTTCTGTTTTGTAAGTGACGCTCAGCCCCCCCCCCCCTTCCCTTCCTATCTTTTTAGGTCAAGTTTCAATTTCCTGAGAAAGCTTGTAAAAGCCTTAGGTTTCAGTTTCCTGTAACCCCCTCCCTACCCCTCATCCGGCTATCTGTAACAAAATGTGCTGTTCTTTAAGAAATGCTTAACTTCAAGGGAATTACAGGAAGTTCTGCTGTTGTACTGCAGGAAAAATAGCTTCATTATATTTGTATCATAGCAAAATACCTGTAACTTGCGCCTTACTCTGTTTTCCTTTTCCCTCTGGGTGACCTAATTGATATGTTAATCAATGCTCTCCTCTTTAAAGAATTGTAAAATCTTACCTAATTGATATGTTAACCATTGTTGCCCTCTATAAATAACAGATGTGGTGCTAAGACAAGCTAACAGGGGTTGTTAATTACTGCTAGACTTCTCTATTCTCTGCTAAGGGAAAGAAGATGTTTGTCCAATCTAAACTTGCTTGTATGCAGGGAGGCTTGCTTGTTAGCCCAACCCTTATCTGAACTTTGCTCTTCCCAATGTAATCTAGCCACATTCCTGTTCTGTAGTGTGTCCCAGCCCTGCCCCACCCCCCATTGTGAGACCAGCAGCTGTTTGTGATTTTTACAAGATAAAAGCCCTGACTTTTAGCTGTCAGGCACTCAGTCTCCATATTGGCTCCCAGGGATTGCATAGCCAAAGCCTGGCCTAAAATAAAGCCTTTGCTCCCAATTTTTTTTTTTTTTTTTTTTTTTTTGTCTTTTTCCTTTTTGTCAGTACCGGGGATCGAACTCACGACTGCCTGCTTGCAAGGCAGACGCTTATGCCGCTGAGCTAAATTCCCAGCCCCTGCTCCCCAAATTTTAATTTCTTGCTTCCTTGGGTTTTATTCTGGGGTCCGAGCTATCACAGTATTAGAACTATGCTAAATATGTTTTGCCTCTAAGCGCAGTTGAGAGCTAGGAATAATTTTTTAAAAAATGAAATAATCTCACTGTGTAGTTTAGGCTAACCTTGCAGTTAGTGTAGCCCAATCTTGGCTATCCTGCCTCAGCCTCCGGAATCCAGGGATTAGAGATACCCATCCCCATGCCTGGCTGTAATTAAGAGCAGAAATAAGCAAAAACTAAAGGCAAAAAACTTTATTGGTGCTAACTTTGCTTTATTTGGTGTTAACTTTGAAGCATGAATTCAGTAAATGTTAAATAATTTAAGTACCTGAGAATTACATAACAGTTCAGTGGTGATTTTTGGGTAAAACAATGATGTATACTTAACAAATAACTGTTACACTATCATAAAGAGCTATCTCCTATCTATTGATAGGATTATTTCCAAAAGATGAAAAATATTTCCAAAAGATGAGAAGTATAAAGCAAAAAGCGGCCTTTATTCTGAGAACACGGAGAGAGATGACTGCACCCCCAACCGCTGGAGTCCGGTGTTCTCTCAGGTGGAACATGTGGAGTGAGGCACATAAGTAGCCTCGGTTTGGGGTGGAACCTAAGGGGGGGCATTAGGGATGCACAGGTAGCCCATTGGTCCTAGGCTTGGCACCATGGGTAAATTTCCAGGAGTGGGAAGATGGCGTCACAGGTAAATTCCTAGGGGCAGGGGAGATGGGAGCTTCCTGGTTCTGGTTGATGCTTTCCTGGCTACAGAGTCCTGTCTGGGCCAAAACTCTTTCATATCCCGTCTTATGATTATTATTATGAAAAGGGGCGAAGATTTCTCTCTTTACTTCCTGCTGGCAGAGGGTGCTGTACTGGAGCCTAGGGGAGTCGACAGGATGAAGGTTGATGCCCAGGTAGACACTGTTGCCAGGTGTTTTAGCCAGGACAACTTCACTGGTGAATGCACGTATATTAGAATGGAAAAACAAAGAGACAAGATGTTATGAGGAGACATGGCACTGTCATATTTAAGGACCCAGGTGAGGTAGAAGGAAAGGTGCCTTTGATTTAGACATGTAAAACTTGTCTCCAGTCCAGGAGTTGAACTGGAAAAAATAGGGGGAGTATGGAAGGTGGTGGGTGTACCAGTATAGGGAAGGTGAGGGCTCAGGCTTTTAGGGATGTCACGTTTAACCAGACAGCTGAGGGTAGAAAGAACTATGACAGTCATCACATAGAACATTATGAAGATTATCTTAAGCATGATGTGAGAGTCTTTGGGAAAGACTGTCAAAAAGAGTCCCGCTGTAAAAATGATCATTAATAGAACATAAGAAATTAGGAACCAAAGTGGATAACAAAACATGACTTAGCCTGTTAATTGTGAAACGGAGATGGGTGGGTGACAGAAGATGAGATGACCACTCAGAATGATCAGATTAGGGCTGGAAGGGCACCGCTTAACCTGAGTGAACATGAAACCAGGATGGCAGTCTAGCAACTTTGATTTAGGCATGGGTCGCTGTAACCTGGTTGTATCAGCAGTTTACCTGGTTGTGGGAAAGGCTTTTATGTATCCTGAAAAAGTATAAACAAAGTGAGTAAACAAAACATATCTGTCAGTCTTGACCAGGATTGTCTGACAAACTGGTGAATAAGAAAGGAAGGGGGTGGTCTTATATCACTGAGGAGAGGTTTACTAGCGATAACAGGTGGAAGCTGTTGAGGCCTCAGTGTGTCTAAGTTAGTCTGTATATTTTGGACTGGGACCTGTATGAAATAGGCCTTGTTTGTAAATGGCATAGGTTGACCATCAATACCCCATCATAGAGACTGAAGACTTAATATAGCAGCCTGAAAACTCAGGTGGAACTCTGTATATATGGACTCTATGTCCACAAATATAGAGAATTGTCTTACCTGAGACTTTAGTCAACTTGGACTCTGAGATGGACACCTTAAAGGGGGCTGTTGTTGCCCTGAACCCCCTCAGTCTTCAGCAGTAATTGTTGTTGGCGATGAATCTGGCAGTGTTGACATTTCCTGTGAGGGCTAGAAGTTAGGATGGCTTACCCACTCTCTGGTAGCTAGGACAGTCCAGCAGCCCTGAAGTAAGGTCTCAAAGAATGCCAGGATGGGGCATTTTGTGGCCCAATGTCTTCTGCTGTATTTGAGCGTGGTCCGGGGGGGGGGGGCAGGCAGTTCCACCTTGTGCAGATTTACCTGCTTCAGAACTCCAAATGTCAAAAGTGTTAAAAATATGAAAAACCATATTAAGATCTCTCTAAGGTTTGAAGGTCAAATTTTGCCTTTTGTTTGGGATTTGGACTACAGTAGAATTAAGTAAGTATGCAGGAGTTTAATATTGGCATTTTAGATCAGAGAGCAGTTTATATGGATGGCATATCGCTTTTAGGGTATTGTGTGGAATTATATATTTAATAAAAAAGTCTTTACTCTGCCCTCCCCCTTTTGGAGTATAATCTCATTTTAATGGAAACATTTTCAGTAAAGGTTTACCAATCTTATGAATAAATCTATGAAAACTGATCTAATACTGTCAAATTTTGAACACATTTACTATTTTAAAGCTGTTATTTGCGGTAGTATGAACCAAAACAAATAAAATTTTGTTTTTAGACAATATTAAAACTTTTAACAAAACCCTTGACTTGGAACAGAGCTAGTGGTTTCCAGCAAAAAGGAATTTATAACCTTAGTTGTTAAACAGGAAATTGGTGAAGGCTTTGATTGATAAACAAGGCTGGTAAAATTAGCAGTTGGCCAATAATCTTGATTAAATGGTTTGAGAATTGTAATAAAAAATAGCACCTTTTGAGTGGAGCTGAATTGTAAAAAAAAAGCATGCCTGAGCGGAGCCACTGAGCTGCTGTTTTGCGGCGTGCTGGCAGAGCATGCCCAGTGTGGGGGTGGGGCGAGCGTCGGGACATAGTACCCAGGGGTGGGCTGTGCCTGCCCCTGGAAATGTGTAAGGCGGTAGTGATGATGGCACACGGGGGAGGGGCTGGGAGGCAGCCCAACGCAGTGTGTGAAGCTGGAACTGCTCTCGGGGTGCGAGGATTAGAAAGCCGATTTAGGAACACAGCTGGGTTTTGATTAGCCTCCTGGACCTGTTGTAAAAGTTTGTTATCAAATTGCCTGATATAATTCTGTG